CTGTGATCATGCACTGGATTTACCTCACCACTTCATGTTCCTTAAACCTCTTGCGGGCCAATCCCCTAGCCACGATGAATGTTCAGAGGATTGTGGTCAACGTGGCATCAGCCCTGTGGTGTTAATCTGAGAAAATATGAAGCTAACCAAGGCTTTACAAAATCAAATATCAGTGTTCAGCAAATGAGTACTGTCTTGAATGGAGCAGCCTGACAACACAGAAGTTGTCATGAAGTCTGCATGTCCATTCACTTTAGCTCAGAACAGTCCTCCATCACTAAGCAAAGCTACTGTTCTCGGGAATCTGATGATCTGTGAACATTACACCGGTAACTACACAAAACAAGATTCTGCAATTCTACCAGTTAGTCTAATCTTGGAGATCACAGTTACATAGGCAGTCCACTGTTGACTGAAAATTTCTTCCCGTTGCAGTTTCTTACTCATCATTATTGTTGGCTACTGCATCTGTCCTTTGGAATTGCTGCAATCCTGCTTGTATGATAGCTTTCCTCATCACTTTAACCACATACCCTCACCAGGATTTCCTCAGTCATTGCTCTTAAGTCCTATTTCTCTTTATCATTCAGATTTTAACCAAAATACTTCTCTTTTGGCATTTCTTTTTCTTTGTCCTTCTTGAGCTAAAATGTGTCTTCCAACTCTGAGGATTTGTTTTATTTTTATTTCATTTTAGATAATTTATAATTCACGATTGAGTCTTTAAAATCTCTTCATTTTTAGAAATCTAATGAAGTTGGCCTTTCCCTTCTCATTTTAGTCATCATCTATGTATAACCAAACTTCTATTTTTTCTATTCTTTTGCCTCTTTGATGTAGTGTGGTTACATTTATGCACCTTACTCTTCTGACTCTCTAAATTGTTGTTTGGGGTTTTTTTTTTTTTTTCAGTACTTGGGATGCAACCTAGGACTTTCTCACAGAACTACATCCCCGGCCCTTTTTAAATTATTTATTTATTTATTTACTTTAAAATTCTTAGGTTCTTGCTAATTTGTCCAGGCTGGACTCAAACTTGCATTCCTCCTGCCTCAGCCTTCCAGAGTGCTATAATTATAGCCATGTGCCACCACACTTGGCTACAATTCTTTTTTTATATGAGTTTATTTTAAAGCTTAATCCATAATATATCTTGACTTTTACTCGTTACTCAGTTATGATAGTTTCCTATTTTAGAATTTATATTTGGATATTTCTAAAATTGTCTGGTCTCTCTAATATGACTTTGATTTTATCTTTTGTTTTACTTTTCATCTACTGAACCATGCCAGGAGCTCCTTGCCATCCTGTCCATCAGCTCTGTGACTTTGTCCCCTCTCCTGATAGCTGGCTGCCTCTGATGCTTTGTAACCCAGACTGCACTCTCAAATTGGTGTGAACTTCATCTTGCCATTTCTCCACTGGATTTTCTTTGTTTCTCTCATTTGGCTTAAGTTTTTCTAGTTGGCACCCAAAGATTTGGCAAAATAGGTAAGTGTTTTCTCCCTCTGCCAACAGCAGGTTTCAGACACCTAATTATTTTTTAGATGGTGTCAACTCTGGAGCCCTGCCAGATGCAGACTTCTCTCTCGTTCCATCTACTCACTGGCACCTAAGCCTATTCTGCCACCCCTACCACTGTTAAAACACAGATATCCATGCCACTGTCCTCAGTCTCTGTGAAGACTCTCAACTCTTCTGATACCCTTGCTTCTGCTCCTGAGAATTCTGCTGTGATAAAGTGTGCATTTGGAAAGTTACTTCAGGGTTTAGTTTTCTGTATTAGAAGGGATTTTCAGAATACGTATGTTTGACATGTGATTGGAAAATGCAGTGAATGTTAATTTTTAAAATTTTAGAGTAAAACACATTGTCATTAATTCTAAAAATCCTCTCCTTTGCTTCGAATACACTCATCTTATCATCTAGCCACTTTCTGCAACAGCTCTGGAGTTCTCTTTCCTGAATGTCTAGTTCCACTGTTGGGCTGCCTCGATGTCCTGAATGCTTTCCTTGCATGGTCATTTTTACTTTGGAGGAGAACCAGAAGTCACATGGTATCATATTCAGTGAATAAGATGGATGAGGACACACCATGTTTTACAAGCCTACCTTTTCATAGGATGGCTCTTGACAGCTGCATTAACCATATATCTTATCACACTTCACAAGGCCATTCACACAGACTTCCAGAACTCTTCAGAAAGTGAACAAGAACAATGGAATAAATATGTTCAAAGCAAGGGTGAGGATTCTGAGGAGGATTTATGCCAATATTATCTTTTACTATAATAAATTTTAAAAACTTATATTACATTTTGACTACCCCATGTACATATCTATCTCCTGCATCTATCTACCTTATTATTTGTATTTGTATTTCCATATCCTATCTACTTTCTATCTTCTGTACCCACCTGTCTATATCCCTGCATTTATCTATCAAGTACCTATGTCTCTGTAATTTATGCCTTCTATATCTGGATCTATATACAACTGCATCTGTCCTATCTTCTTGTCTATCTATCTATAGCTCAATCTTCTATATCTACCCAGAGTGGTCCACTCATATCCATGATTTTGCTTTCTGTGATTTTAGTTACCTCCAGTCAACTGTAGTCTGAAAATACTACATGGAAAATTCTAGAAAGAAAAAATTCACACATTGTAAATTGCACATCATCCTAATTAGTGTGCTGACCCTTTGCATCGCACCACTCTGTCCTCCCAGGTGTAAGTTCCCACTTTGTCTTACATACCTGAGCCATGTACACTGTCTACCTTACCTGTCAGGCACTAGGAACTTTCTCACCTACTGTCAGACCTATTGTCACAGGATCACAGTTCTTGTGTCACAGTTCACAGGCCCTTGTTTTACTTAATAATCGCCCCAAAGCACAAGCATGGAGTTGTTGGCAATCTAGATATGTCGAAGAGAAGCTGTAAAGTGAAAAGGAGAAATTTCCCCCTCAACCATTAAAATGGTCTGTTCCTGACATCCAACCATTGACTGGACTACAGCTAGGGAGCAGGCTCACCTGAAGCCAAATGACACTCTCCTATGATGCCATTACAATGCATCTGTCAGTCACCTTACTGTGTCTCATCACAGAGGCAGCATGTTGTCCCACACCAGCACAGAAGACAGTGACTACAGCACGTGAGCATATTGTGATAATTGTCCTGTTTTACTGTTGCTGAGCTTATCATGCCTGCCTTGGTAAATCAAACTGCCATAGGTGTGTATAAGGGGAATGGTATATGGGGGCTTGGTATTATCCAGGGTTTCAGGCACCCACAAGGGGTCTTAGAACATCCTCATTAAAAGTAAAGTGGACTACTGGATCTATTTTATCCACCCATCTATATCTAACTTTTATGTGTCTATTTATGACCATATTTACCTATATTTCTAGTTCTTTCTATTAACTACTTGCATATATCTATATTGCTATATCTTTTTCCTATTTTCATGCATATCTACCTCCATGTGTGTGTATTATCATCATCTATGTAACCTCTATCATTTATATTTTTATTTTTTCTATCTTCTGTATTTCTATCTACTCTATCCTATCAGCACTATCTTTCTATATTTATGTATCTGTATCCTCTATATCTCTATTTTTTGTTTCATCCATCTAGCTATATATTCATATATAAAATCCACCTACATCTAGCCTATCTGTGTTTCTGCATCTCCAGTATGTCTATCTATATCTATCTGCTACATCTATTCTATCATTTTTGTCTATCATATCTCATCTAGCTATCATCTGTTGTAGCCCAGGAATGATAGCTCACTTGCCCACGGATACAGCATCTGTCATGCCCAAGGGCATGGGGACCCTTGGCTACAGAACACAGTTATCAGCAGAAAGCCCCCGGCTCTGCATTTGGAACACTAACTGGCCCCAAGGTACCATATGGTAACAATGACTTGCACATTGTGATAAAATGAATAACCCTGAATTTTTATCTCATATTCTAAGTTATGCAGTAACCTTGTTGCTATTTTAGTGCCAGATACCTGCATATGACCAAAATAAAATGTTTTGATCTTCACTAACCTAAGAATTCCTGGGTTTAGATGAACAGAAACTTTGCTGCCAAGCCCCATGGGGTTTTTAAAAAATAAAATGGAGTACTACTCAGTCATAAAGAAAGATAAACTTGAGACATTCATAGCTAAATGGATGCACCTTGAGGACATACTCTTAAGTGAAATAAATAGGACACATGTAAATACCAAATTATTTCTCTGGTGTGAGAAACTGAATGGGTAAAGGAGGGCCAAAATGTATAGTAGATATTATAAAATTGGAAGAAAATGTTCAAAGAGGAAGGGGAACTAGGGAGGGGGAGCAAGTGAAAGGAAAAAGTTGAAGAAAAGAAGGAAAAAAGAAATCTCAGTGTATAGGGCAGGGTAGAGGAGCTGAAGGGAGGTCAGGAGAATAGGAAAAAATAAGAATCAAAATTTATCTTGTACAGGTACAAATTCCCAATGATAAATGTGATCACAAAGTATACCTAAATGTACCAAAGGAACGAGGTTCCAGGACCACAAGCAGCACAAGTGCCAGTGGTTTACCATCGTCTTTGGCCACCTGCCAGGACCTCCAGAGTCCTCAAGGAGACACCACAGGTGGAAGCCAGTAGAGCCTTTCGCCCTCGGCTCATTTTTGTTTGAGCTTTGTGTATGCCTGGAAGCCCTAGAGCACCTGTACGATGAGCAGGAGTAGGAGGTGACCACACCTACCACTAGTGCTATCTGTTGGGGCCCCAGGACCCTCGTGTGTGCCCAAGGGAAGGGAGGATGCGCTGGAAGGCGATGGACAAGTGCTGGTGGAGTCAGGGCTCCTGGAGGGTACTCCCCTTCCCTCTCTGCTTCTTGGTCACCCTGCGCGCAGCAGCCCTCCTCCTCCAAACCTTTCCACCCTGCCACCTTGTCTTGGAGCCGGGATCATCAACTGAAACGTGAGCCACTAGAAACCTCTCCTCCTTTTATTTGTGGGTGTAGGGTCTGGTGTCTCAACCACGGTCGGTGACCGAGAGGTACCAGCAGCCAGGCAGAAGAGCCAAAGTCCTGGGACCACTGCGAGGCGCGCGGACGTTGGCTCGCACACAGGCAACCGCGACACTAGGATGGCACTGGTCCACGAGGCGAGCCGGCAGTCAGCGTGCCGCCGCTAGGTGGCGCTTCTTGTACAGCAGCGCGCGCCGCTTCTAGCGCTCACGCACGAAGGCGCGCAGTCGCGCGGTGGGGAAGGTCACCGGTGCGGGCCGGGAGCCGCGCGGGCCCTCCTCGGTCAGCCACGGACTCTGCAGGCAGCCGGAGGCGCAGGGCCGCGCCCTGGGAGGGGAGGAGTGCGAGTGAGAGTCTGCAGGAGAGACTGGGGCCAGAGGGGGCAGGGCCAGAAGAGGGGCGGGAGGGACTGAGCAGGGGCCGGAGGGCGAGCGAGGGAGTGGAGACGGCTGCAGGACAGGTCTGGGTCGGAGTTCCGGGGAGTGGGGGGCTCCTTACCAGGGCTGGACGCTCAGCGTGCCCTGAAGGAAGGCCACCGCGCCGCCTGACAGCCCCGCGTAGCAGCGGCTCAGCCGGACGAGACCCTTGCGCAACCCCTTCTGCAGGTCGCGGGTCCCCTCACTGCCCACCGGGTACTCCGCACTCAGCCTGCGTGGGTAGGGGGCCCTCAGTTACCTTCCATGGGTGGGGCCACTTAGGGTGGCATCAGGCCCCGAGATCGCCCCGCCTGTCCACTTGGCGCTTCCCATGACAGCTGGACTCACATGATGAAGGCCGTCACCCCGATGGCCCAGATGTCCGTCTGCGGGACAGCCCCTTGGCTGTCTAGGAGCTCCGGAGCTGCAAGAGAGCACAGGTAGGGACACAGGTGAGAGGCTGGGTGAGTTGGCACCAGCACATGGGCACAGACAGGTGGGCCGAGGTGTGGGCACAAGTGAGGGACCCAAGTATAAGGGCCCTGGGGGGCAGGTGTGTGGGCACAGGCGGGGGACAGGTGGAGGACACAGGTAAGAGGGTGGCAGGCTTCTGGGGCTGTGTGGGGTGAGGCAGGCAAGACCGGTGAAGAGGGCTGGGAGGGACCTGACAACACCATCACAGGCTGCATTCGCCTGCTGCTTCTTGCCTCTTAAAATTACCTCCTCCTCTTATCTTTAGTTTCCCTCCCGCCAAGGCCACCGGGGCCGGAGGACTCAAACCTAAGTTTCTGCAGAACCCATAAAAGGCAACCTGGCCTATGATAGGTTAAAAGCAGCCCACTCCTCATAAATAAGCGAAAGCCCAGCCCAAAACCAATAAAAGGACCTTCCTTCCTTTGTTCTCTTCTTCCTCCTCTCTCTTCTTCCCTTTCCCTCTCTCCCTGACCTGCCTCCCCTAATAAAGTCTCCTGTTGGGCCTCTCGGTGTGCGGCCTAGTTGTTGAGCGTCACTGTGCCTCTACAGGGGCTTCCTGCTGCACCCCCTGGCTAGGTGCCCACAGCTGCCTGCCCCTGTCCATACACATACCCATGGTCTCCAAATAATCCCTGAAGCTCTCAGAGGGCAGCACCTTCTCCTGGAGGAGGCTCTGGGCACTGCCCAGGTCCACAACTTTAAGCAGGTTGTATTCCGTGATCATCATGTTCTCAGACCGCAGGTCCAGGTGCAGGATGTGCTGGGCATGCAGATACTGGGTGGCACTCAGCATCTGCCAGAGGTAGTCCTTCACCTCGGACTCTGAGTAGGAGGCCCTAGGGGCAGAGGTGGCTTGATGCAGGCACCAAGGTGGGGGCATGCAGAGACCTGCACCTCAGTGGGTTGGGAGGGCCTGCCCAGCTCTGCAGGCCCCAGCATGGAGGTCAGCCAGGACTGGGGTGGGGCACAAGCCTGTTGTCCAGCTGTCTGACTGCTCAGCAAGCCCGTGCCACCCCTCACCTCTCGGCCAGGCCAGGGAGCAGCTCGGGCCCTGAGCACAGCTCCAAGATGAGCACCAGGTGGCGAGGGCTGAGGTAGGCAGCATGCAGCTGGGCAAGGTGTGGGTGACGCAGACTCTTGAGGGCCTCGTATTCCCGCAACACAGCTGTCTTGTCCTCAGGCCGGTAGGGTATAATCTTAGCAGCCAGTGCTCGGCCGCTGGCCTTCTCCTGGCACTGCCGTACCACACTGAAGCGGCCCCTGGGCAGGTATGACACCAGGGAGGTGAGCTCCACGAGAAGCAGGGGAAGGAGGGCAGCAGGCCATGGACAGATGCGTGGGAAGAGGCTTGAGCCAAGGGTACATGGGAAGGGGGACAGGCAGAGTTGTAGGGGAGGACAAGGCACAAACCCCACCCGCTGTGGTCCCCAGCAGCCACACCTCCGGATCTGCATCTGGAAGGCAAAGGTCTTGGTGCTGGGCAGGGGCTGGGCTGGCCGCCCCCCTCCACTCTCCTCCTCAGACACTGTGGGAAGACAGGTGATGGTCAGGCTGGGTGTCATGCAACTGCAGCTATTCCCAACCCCGCCACCCTTCCTTCCCAGGAACCAGACAAGGGGCCCTTCTTTAGCTCCCACACTCTGACTCGTTCCTCCACACGTGGGATGAGAGAGGGGGCACAGCAGGCAGTGCCAGCCGCCACAAGTGAGTGACAGCCGGAGTCCCTTCCAGGACAGGGTGGGGACAGCAGTGGTAATCGGTCACACTGCTCTTTCTCTGAATCCAGACACAGGCTCAGTGCTCAAGGCTCTACAGCATGGGTTCATGGCCCTCAGCAGGTGGGGGTTGAGGTTCAAGGGATCCCTGGAGGGCGCAGGCCTTGGGTGTCAAGTGTAGGTGGCTCTCTCTCCCAGGAAGGTGGTAGTCACCCAGCCACCCTGTCCCTGTCCCCAGGGGTGGCTCACCCAGCCGGCTGGGCCCTCCCAGCAGGACCTGCTCCGAGGGGCTGCTGTAGGGGCCCATGCCTGCCTTGCTGACACATGCTGTGCGGAAGGTGTAGACTCCGCCCCGGGGCAGCTTGCTGGTGAGGTAGCAGCAGTCAAAGATGTCAGAGGCCAGTGTGGTCCAGCTGCCACCTGGGCCCAAGGAAGCATGAGAGGAGCAGGGAGGTAGAGAGCAGAGACCTTCCCCAAGGAGGCAGAGCGCTCCCCGCCCCGTACCTTCCACACAACACTGTACAATGTATGTCACAGGGCCACAGGACTCCATAGGCTTCCAGACTAGCAGCACCCCATCTTCGTACACCTCCCCAATGTCAGGGCGCGGGGAGGAAGAGGGTCGCTCTGCAAGAGGGACACACATGGTCAGGGTGGATGCAGGACACCCTGGCTCTATCCCCTCCTTTTCCCCAGCCAGGACTCCAAGCCCACCCTATCCTGATCTCATTCATTTAGGAACCCTACAGCCCTCCTTCAGGGAGACGGGAGATGTCCACCCACCATCCCTGCCAGGCCACCCATGTTGCCGGTGTCCACGCAGGACCCTGCAGAGGGGTGAAGGCCCTGACAGCTCAGTTTTGCTGAGTGCCCAGCACTCGGTGTCTGGGGTCTGCCCACAAAGCTGCCCCTCTTTTTGGCTACCCTGGAATGACACTCCACACAGTGTTTGGAGTTGGAAGCTTGGCCCTGATGTGGATACAGAACCGAGATGGCCCTTCCTTCCTGTATGGCAGAGGGAGGGCTAGGCAACACAGTGGAGAAACAGAGCCAGGGTTCAGGCACCAGGGAGAGCTCCACCCACAGATGGGCACAGGCTCAGCATTGTGCACAAGCAGGCTCTGTTCAAGTGCTGTAAGGCAGCTGCCATAGCTCCCCTATCCCCACTCCTGGGCACACTGCTCCTGGCCAGCTCAGGCTCCCTCCCCAGCCACTCTGGGCACCCATGGCAGCTGTGTGCCATGCCTGCACATCAAGAACAGGGATGCCTAGAGGAAGTGATGCCCACACGTTCTGCAGCCTCATGAAGTGGAATGTGGTCTTCCTGGTCCACCCACCTGCCTTCCGGAGGACCCCCATGCTGGCTGCTGTCCCCAGCAGGTTGCTCACGCTGCAGGTGTACACGCCCAGGTCCTCAGCCATCACCACTAGTATGGTCAGCAGCTCAAAGTTCTTCAGGGTAGAGGAGATGAGGATGCGCCCACTGCTCTCCAGGATGGCCCCATCTGCATGGAGACAGGGTGGGCCTCAGTTTGCCTGGACAGCCACGGCTTCCTGCCTGCTCTAGGATGGCTCCTTACCTTTGCTCCAGGTGGCCTGAGCAGCTGGCTGGGCTGACACCTGGCAGGCCAGTGTCACTGACTGGCCCAGGACCACAGCCTCATCTGAGAGCTCCCTCAGGAAGGTTGGTGCTGAAGAGAGGTGTGAGATGAGGCTTCAGGAGGACACCCAGCGAGAGGATGTGGCCAGATCCCACCCAACCCTCCAGGACTGCTGGGCCCTGCTCACCGTGGTCCCCGCCTTTCAGGCCTGACAGCCGGAAGGCAGCCAGGCCCGCTTTCTTCCTGGGGGGCTCTTCCCTCTCGTGACCTCAGGAAGAAGAGGCCATGGAAGTCATGGTCAGCCAGGAAGCCCATTCTCTGGGCAGCACCCACTTCCTCAATCCACCCTTGCCCCACCCCTCCCCAGATTTCCACGCCACAGGGAAAGGCCAGCATTCAGGATTGTGGAAAGTAGGCTAATCACACTGAGGCTTCCCATGCTGGGCCGCCTGCACCCTAAGACCCCACTGCAGTGCCACCATCCCCTTGGGGCTGCTGGGCTGCACCTGCCTCCAAGCCCCTGCAATTGTCCTGACCAGGGCTGGTCCGAGACACCCAGGAGGAGGGCATCAGGCCTCAGGGCAGAGGCCTGTGGGGTGAGGCTAGGAGGCTGAGCTGTCCCTGGCATGAGAGGGTGGAGAGACCCTGGATGTGCCAGCTCCCAGCAGGAGTCACCTTGCTGCTTGCCCTTAAGGATGCGAGAGATGTGGGCCATGGACGCCTTCACCCTCTGGCGCAGCCCGCGATCTGGAGGTTCTTCCAGTGACAGACAGCCTCCCGGGAACTGGAAAAGGTCTCGTGAGGGCGACCACTTGCGCTTCCTGCCCATGGCTGCCTCCCCCAGGAGGGCTACCAGGTCATCAGGCTCCTCCTCAGTGATCTCTAGGCCAGCACGCAGACCAAGCTCTCCTGGCCAGGGCCACGTGGTCTCCGGGAACCTGGCCAGCTCCTCTTCAGCCTCTGTCTCTGGGGAGCTTGGCTCCTGTGGCTCAGAGGGCTTAGGGACCCGCCTGAAGATCATGAACTCAAATGGAAGGTACTTGATGTCATACAGGTCAGAGAGGTTGAGGTAGGCAGGGTCCACCTCAGAAATGTCCAGGGATATGGTGTCAGCTGCTTCTGCATCTCCTGATAGGTCCCTGATCTGCACCAGGGAGATCTGATCCGCATCCTCCCATGAGGGCATTTCTGGGAAGGCCCTTGGTGACCCCAGGCTAGTCTGGGGCTGGGAGGTCTCAGCTATGGTCTCCTCTTGATCCTCCGAGGACTGGGACACTGACCAGGCCATTCTGGCCCACAGGGGACCCTGGCCCAGCATGCCTCCTGCATCCCCGCCAAAGGCAAAGGTGCCATAGCCAGCTACACCAGCATAGCCACCTCGGCGGGACCCCAAGGAGAACTTCCGGGCAGTCACCTGCTCCTGAGGCCGCTGTGGAGGGGGTGTGGAGTCTGGTGGACACTCTACCTGCTGGGTCAAGCCTTTGGCATGCAGAGAGGGGCCAGGCCAGGGCTGCCCAGGTAGGGAGGTGTCATGGGGTCCTTGGGAGCTGGGCAGGGGGCTCGCCTGAACCAGGTCCAGGGCCTCGTCACCAGGGAGCTGTGTTGAGGGTGAGTTGCAGCCTTCCTGGGGGGAACTGCCCAGCTCAGGGGGACTGACAGGGTCTGGGCACGCTCCACAACTCTCCTGCAGTGGCCTGTCCTGTGCAGTGCGTGCCCAGTCTCCACCAGCAGATGAGAGTGGCCTGGACCCCTTGGGGTGCACCAGGTCCCTGGCAGAGGCCTCACAAGTCAGCCCAGACGGGGTTGAGGATGGACACTGCCCTTTGACACAGGCCCCCGAGGAGGGGCTTTTGGTGCTTGACAGATCGTGGTCCAGGGAGCAGCTGCAGCCAGGGACCTCATGAGTGGCTGGGCTGGGCCGCCACAGGGCGGACTCGAAGGAGGTTTCCCGGGTCACTGCAGCCTGCTCCTCCAGGGCAGCCTCCTCCTCCAGCACACGGTGCTCCAGGAGCGGCTCCCGTAGCCCGGGCAGAGCCCGCGCAATGTACCCACCCTTCAGCAGGTGCCGACGCCGTGCCCCATGCCTCCTGGCCCCTGTGGCCACAGCCCCATGCTCTGGGCCCTCACTTGCTTGCTGGTAAAACAGGCTGCAGACGACGCTGTGTCGGGGCACACAGCTGGGGGATGGTGGCCCTGACCCTGGCAGGGACACTGCCTCCGGGGACACTGTCAGACTCGCACTGGCCTCGGCCTCCTCAGGCAGACTGGCCGAGGGCCGCAGGAAGCCCCGGGGATGCAGCAGTGGGGAGTGGGTTGTGGGGGAAGGTGGCAGCGACTTGGCCCTGGCAAAGGGTGCCAGCTCGTGGTCCGAGGAGGAAGAGCTGGAGGAGTCACTGGCATCTGGGCGCAGGTGCCGGGCCACACCAAGGGATGGGCTGTCGGGTGGGCCCTGGAGCAGCTCGGGGATGGACCGCATGACCAGGATGGACTTGTAGCTCATCAGGGAGCGCTGGGGCCACAGGACAGGGCATTAGGGGGAGGTCCAAGGGCAGCCCCACCCAAAGGGGTCCCTGCACACTGGGCCCTGTCTGCTGCCCTGCTGTCACATGGCTGGACTTGGGCCTCAGTTTCCCCTTTGTGAGGCAGCATGGCTCACCTGCCAGCGGCTGCGGGCCAGGAGGAATTTGAGCTGTTTGGTGTTGATGAAGTAGGCTTCCTCAGCAGGCACAGACGTCTGCAGGCAGCAGGGAGCAGCCACAGTAAGGATGATACCCAGTGGGGCAGAAGCCCTGGGTCCCCAAACCCAGATGCCCAGGCAGGCAAAGGGCAGAGCCAATGGGGCACCCTGGACAAACCGTACTGAGGCAAGTTGGAAGGGATGACTCCCCTGGACCGGGGATATGGACCCCACCTTCTGGGTGTCAGTCTGTCCTCCCCATACCCTCCCTGTATGGGCCAACTCACCAGGAACCAAGGGTGGGCAAGACAGCTGGCAGCACTGGGCCGGGCCCTGCAGAGGACACCGGGAGGTCGGTCAATGGTGGACAGGGCTGAGGACACAGAGGGAGGGCAGGCGGCACAGGCACTCACTCTGGGTCCTGCTGCAGCGTGGCCTGGATGAAGTCCCGGGCATCTTCGCTGAGGTGGGCAGCTGTAGGGCTGCTCCAGGACACCCGTCCCTCGAGGATGTTCAGGAGGGTGGCACGGTCACTCTCGCCAGCAAATGGGGACGAGCAGGTCAGGCTGAAGGAGAGGGACTAACCTCAGCTAAGACCTGGCTCAGACTGCTCCCATCCAGCCTAAAGACCCCTGCAGGCTCCAAACACAGGTCAGAGCAAGGATCCAGGCTTAGCCTGCAGGAGGGGTCTCAGATGCACCTGGGGTGAGGACCCAGGCCAGGCAGGGACAGGGGCAGGCCTGTCTTGTGTGGGACCCAGCTTTGGCCTGCGGTGGAGATCAGAGATCAGCCTGAGAGGAGATGCAGGGTCAGCCTAGGCAGGGGCAGGTGGTTTGGCCTCTGTCTGGGGGACCCAGTGGGGACAGACCGGGTCAGCCCAAAAGGCCACATCCCTTCCCAAGATGGGTATCAGGGGAGCTGAAAGGAGATCCAAGCTCAGTCTACACCAGCAGCATTGTCCAGCCAGCTGAGGTCATCAAGAGGCAGGGATGGGGGCTCAGCCTCAGATAGCATGATGCTCACAGGATGTCCTGGACAGGCTCCTTATCAGGTTGGCCAACTGCCTGTTCCCAAAATAGACGCCCCACCCCAGCACTTGGCCCAAGCAGCAGAGGCAGAGTGCATGGTCTCTGGGGCCCACAGGGAGCACAGCCCCGGAGGAGCTAGAGGTATTGGCTGGCTCACCTGAGGTAGGAGATGACCCCCATGGCCCTGCAGGAGGAAAGCACAGTGAGCCATCAGGGAGTATGAAGGGCCTGGCCAGGAGCAGGAGGCCAAGGTATGAGGAAACCCTCCTCATTCGGCCACTCGGGGCCCCGTCCCCGACCGCTCACCAGATGTCAGATGCTGCGCTCACGGGTGCCTGCTGGATGATCTCAGGGGACACAAACTCAGGAGCACCATACTTGCTGTACTGCGGCTCCAAAGGTGTGAGTTTTTGGGCAAAGCCAAAGTCACAGATTTTAATGTCTTCCCGAGCAGGGTGTACCATCAGGATGTTGGGGGGCTGTCAGGCAGAGTTGGGGTGTCAGTGAGGGTTGTGCCTGGGTGTGGTGACCCTTGCCCTTGGGGCCTCTGGATTTCAGGAGACATTTGGGGATCCATGAGGGCAGCAAGGACCCCCGGGATCAGATCAGGGGTTGCTTGGGGTTCTCTGCCCCATCAGAGCCAAGCTCCATCTGACCAGGCTGCCAGAGGTAGTGAGCTTCCTGGACTCAGAGGCATGCAGGCCTGTCAGGAAGACAGGACAAGGTGGGCTTACACCTTCCCTGCCTCCAGGACCCACCAAGCCCTGGAGTACAGGTACCTTTATGTCCAGGTGGAGGACGCCATGACTGTGCAGGTACTGCAGCCCCTCTACCAGCTGCTGGATATAGACCTTGACCTGGGCACAGGTGGGGTCCAGGTGAGGATCCGCTGCCAGGCTCACTCCCAGGGATAAATACACCTTCCTCCTCCTGACCCAGCCTGGCACAGGTCTCACAGGGTGACATGCAGAGCCCTCTGAGACCCTGTGAGCCAAGCTGGGACATGCCAAAGGCAAGGGGGTGAGAAGCAAGAGCCACCACAGAGCAGGGAGTCACAGGCAGGGAGGTGCAGTGGGTGGGGAGGGATGGACACCCTGGCCCAGCACGGCCAGAGGCCTTGGGTCTCCTGGCTCATTAGGGCAGTCAATTACCTCAGCCTCAGTCACCACACTTTTCTTGAAGAGGCGATCCAGCAGCTCCTCAGATGAGCACCTGGCCATGGTCAAGGAAATGGGGAGCTTTGGTACAGAGTGACAGCTGGGTTGGGGCTGTGGGGCCCAGCCGGTGTAGAAGGGTGCTCAGGGTCCATGTGGCAGCCTCATCTCTGGAGAGGGCTCAGGCTTGTGGGCTTCAGGAAAGTGGTGGCTGGCAGTCACCTTGACCTGGGCTGACCAAGGAACCCCGCTCCCGCCCGGGCCCTCCAGAGACAGTGCAGGATACAGCTCCAGGATGAGGATGAGGGTCTTCCGTGTCTCAAACTGGTCCAGCAGCCCAGTGACCAGTGGGTGGCTGAGGGTGGCCAGGATGTCCCGCTCCTGGTAGGCCTGCACATGTGTCCTACTCCGCAGAGGGATGAACTTGGCAGCACAGGACATCTTGTTTCCTTTGTGCTGCACCCTCTTCACAAAGCCAAACACACCCCTGGGGGAGGGAGCCATGTGGGTGCTGTGCTGTGGGGTCCCCAAGGCCCTAAAGGTCCCAGGGCACAGCTGGGGGACACATACCTCCCAATCTCCTCCTGGACCTCATAGAAGGACTGCAGCTTCCTCCGGTAACTCTGCCTCTCAGAGTCTGGCTCACTGTCCCCTACATTACAGGGCAGTACATGGTCAGTGTGGGTGATGACGCCCTGGGCCAGTGCCCATGGGAGCCCGGGGAACCCACAGTCCAAGGAGCCCTGCACCCCACTCACCCCTGAGGACCAGCAGCTCTGCCTTGCAGAGCACCTGACCACCAGCATTGTGGGCCATGCAGGTATAGACCCCAGCATCCGCCTGGGTCGTGTCCATCAGCATCAGGGAGTATGAAGTTCCATCCTGCTGCTGCTGGAGACGGGCACTGTCCACCAGCTGGATGCCATCCTGGAGATGAAGATGGCCAGAAGCCCTGGGGGTCCCCCTACTGTGCCCACCCCACCCTACTGAGTGCTGTTTCCCATGTCTGCTGCATGTGCATCCAGCCCCACATCCAGGCCAGAAGGGTTGGGAAAATACACAATAGGGGCAGTGGGATGGGGACTGCAGGGTGGGGTTTCACTCCCCATACAGGGCCACCCCTGGTGCTGCCCACACCAGGCCTCCTCTGACCTTGTACCAAGTCACTGTTGGCTGTGGGTTGCCCCCGATGACAGCCTCGAATTGTGCTGTGCCACCTGCCTGGACCTGCACATCCTCGATGGTGACTTGCATGGATGGGGGACCTGGAAGTGGTCAGGGAACTGAGAGCAAGGTCCCCAGCAACCCACCATCCACAGGTGGCCAACAAGATTCCAGAGCCACCCCAGGGTGACGGCCCTTCCCTGTGACAGTCCCTGCTACGGGAAGCCACCGCCTCTCCTGCTGCAACCTCAGTGGGCCAACCCATCTCCCGCAAAGCCATTGAGGACAGAGTTAGCACACCCTGAGCCTGCTGCTCCTCCAGGGTCTGTTGTGACCTCAGCAGGCAACCTGGCCAGCGTCCCCTGCCCCAGCACCAGCGCCCATACTTGCAGCGCCCACATCAGTGGCCTGGAACACATAGGTGCTCTGTGTAGTCTCGGTGACCACGCGGCTGTGGACATCCCAGAGCAGCTGCCCTGGCCCGGCCACCTGCCAGGCTGCGTCTTCCACCCTGGAATCACAGAGGCCACTGAACCTGATGATAGACAGGGTCCCCGCCCCAGAGGCCTCCCCTAGGCTGCCCACATCTCCCAAATTCCCACCGCAGGACCCTGCTGGACAGAAAAGTTACCAGATGGGCACCGTCCGTCCCTGGGCCCCTTCGGTGGACAACAGCTCCCATTCCGGGCCTTCGTGGGGGAGGGGCTGTGTTACTCCCAGGAGGTCGGCTAGTTGGGGACAGAAGCAGTGAGAGGGCAAGGGAGGGTGGCTGAGGGAGGAACTCAGAAGGCAGCAGGGTGCACAGTGCCACTCAAACCCAGGACCCCCACAGTTCAGTCCACGCATGGTGCCATGTGGGGACTCCATCCCCTCTGTCCTGCCTGCTGGCCAGGCCAACATTAGGACAAGTCAGCCCTTGTGCAGGGTGCCCAACCAGCCTCCGACTCCCCCAGGCCCAGATGGGACTTCAGCAGCTGCTGAGGAGCAGGGGCCACATTAGGACAGCTAGTCTGCCCGGCTAGAAACGGCTCAGGACAGCCTCAGGGGACAGAGGTGCATTAGGCGAATGAGGCCCACTGCCTGCTGCCTGGGAGTAGGCAGATGTCCAGCACTGGTATCTGGGGCCATCTGAGAGGCAGATCTCCCCCAACATGCACTGCTATGGTCAATGCACCAAGCCCTCTGGGGCAGGCTGAGTTAGTCAGGTAGGCACAAGGGGACATGGTGGGGCACCAGGGAACAGAGCCAGGGTAGGGGTCTGGGGCTGTGCTCCTGTCAGGTTCACCAGCACTGGTGTCAGAGACCATGATCACAATACTTGGTGCCCAATGTTCCTGGCACAGAACAAAGCCAGGACTCAGGAGGCCCCACCCACCAGTCAGCCTCTACTGTGTCCTCCCTCTTGACAGCAACCTATTGCCACTGCTGGAAGTGGTGACAGGGGACAGGGAGGGGCCACCATGCTCCAGGCCCCTGGGACAGACAGCACCCAGAAAATGCATGCTGGCCCTAGCTGTGGAGAGGAGCTGTGCAGGCTGCTGTGCCAGTGCCTGTGCCCTGCCCAAGCACAGGCAGACAATAGGGAGCCCCTACAGGTAGGTGGAGCGAGGGCCTGATAGGGCATCTGGGCTATGTGCCAGGGCAGGGGTACAAGAGGTGCACAGGGGCTGGGCAGAGGCCATGTGGATAGAGGACAGGATGGGAGGTGGATGGACGGCCCAGGTCCTGGCTGACCAGTCCCCGTCCAACCTGACTCAAGCCTGCCCTGGGGCTCAGCACACTGACCACAAAAGAAGAGCCCAAGGAAGTGCAGAACTCAAGCCAGGTGCCACAGCCCAAGCAGGGAGCCCTGGTTCTGGGACAATTAATCTGCCAAAGTCTCACAGATAGGGAAACTGAGGCCCAGCGAGGCACAGGTCTGACCCAGGGCATGGAGTTCCTGGGGCCCCACAGTTCACAACCATGGGCAACATCACGTGGCACCTCACCAGATGCACTCGAGGATCCCACACCCAAGGGCTGAGGCCTGGCCTCCTGGGACACAGATGGCTCAGTGGGGCTGGGAACAATGAAGTCCCCTGTAGAGTCCCCTGCAGAGGGGGCTGGAGCCTCGGATCCCTGAAGCAGAGTAGGTGACACCTCCAGGTGGGTTCCATCAGGGACAGGGTGGACGGAGTCCTCAAAGGCAGCCTCTGTGGAGAGGGGTCAGTGCAGTAAGGCCCAGGCCTCCGGTGATGGAGTTGGGCCTCCAAGGCTACCCAGCTGGGACAGTTCCACAGGTCCCCTCCATAGGGCCCATAGGCCCAGGCTCAACACTCAGGTGCACCTCCTCCTCCCGGGGCCACCAGGCTGCAGCCCACCCTCAGCCCCTAGAGCCCAGACCCCAGCACCCTCCATCCCACACTGACCCCACAGTGACCCTCAGGCTCACCCCCAGGCTAATTCAGATCAGTGCTGCACTGCACAGCTCCAAAAATCCAGGGCAGCTGGGGTGGGTGTCCAGGTGACCCTAACTACAGCCCTCTGGACACAGGCCACCTCTCACAGTGGCTCCACCCACCCCATCTGACCAGCGGCTGTCTCCCTTTCCCTCCCCTCTCCTGGCCCTCCAGATGCCCATGGATGCTGCTGCTTAGTGCCCAGGGCATTGACCACGCCCACCCTCCCCCTTCTGTGAGGAGCCGTCCACCGAGCCCCACATACAGGCTAGAGATGCAACCCCAGGTTCCCCTCCGAGGCGCTGTGCATCTGCACTCCACTCCCCACTGAGGTGAGCAGGACCAGAATGAGCCCAGCTGGACTCATCTTGCACAGGGGCAATGCGGCGCTGTGCAGTCAAAGCACATCCTGGCCCCACATGGGCCCTGACAACACCCTGCTCCTCCCTGGGGCTGCCAGGTCACCAAGTGTTCCCATGGGCAGCCCGCAGGCTATGCGACACAGGGCACTCAAAGACCCCATGGGGCAGATGGGGACCTGCAATTGCTCTCGGAGCATGGGCAACCCTGGAGCCTAACGGGGCAGGAGACCTGCAATGCGGGCGCAGAAGCAAGAAGGAGCCCACAGCAGGTATAGGACTTGATTTATTGTTCACAGGCCCCAGGACAGAAGACTGCAAAGTCAAGAGCTGCATGGGGCAGCTATTTGGGGGGACAGGGCAAACATTGGTGTTGGAACCACATGCTTCAGCCAGGGGACTGCCCAGCATGGAGTATCCAAGGGGCCTCAGCACAGGCCAGTGTTGGCCTCACCCAGCACCCAGCTGGGGATGAGGTCTGTGAGGTAGAGGCCAGGCAGAGGGCAGGGAGGCTTGTCCTGAGCTGCATAGGAGCTGGGCAGGATCCAGGGGCCTGGACCAGGCCTTAGGCCTGGCATCAGTGCACATGCCATGTGACCCAGGACATACACAGGGCCTCGCCCCAAGCCCACAGTATGTAGTCTCAACCCTGCGAGGGGCCAGGGCCCTCATTCCCCCCTGGGTGGAGGTGCAGTGTGACAGTCTCGCCCACGGTCCCGAAGCCAACTGTCCGGGTGGAGACCTCCGTTTTGAAGCTACTCTGATTGCTGTCTGAAGACTGCTGCACTTGGGCATGGAAGGAGGATATCCAGGGGGTGCTGCCCCTGGGCCTGAGCCCCTGCACAAGGAAGGAGATGCCTTCAGCCCCTGGGGCCCGGGGCCCCTGCTGGAAGGAGCTGGGCCAGCGCCCTACGTTGAGTAGGACAGGCTGCCCCACAGTAGGCTCGCCAATCTCTCTCTGCAGCACCGAGACCTTGCATGGGGGTTCCCCAGAGGCGCTGGGCATGGGATCTCTGCGGCCAAAGGTCTCCCCTTCCTGGGGCACATAGTCCTCCAGGTCAGCCAGGGTCAGCACACGGCCATTGTGTGTAAGGATCTTAGGGTCTCGGCCTCCAAGGCCTTCAGTGTCCTGGAGCTCCTCTCTCACGATAGGGCCTCCGTCCTCTTCCTGCCCTCCTCCTCCTTCCTCCATGGTGCTGTCCTCCTCAGGGGTGGCCCAGACTGTGCCACCAGTGTCCACACAGAGGACCAGTGGCTTCCCAATACAGGCGACTGCTGAGTCCTGGCCCAGCCGTGTGTTGTTGGAGTTGTTGGTGTTGGAATCCATGCCAGGCCGCATGACAAGTACCCCCCCAGGGCTGCCGGATGCCTCTGGGGTGGGAGATGCACCCCGAGGTCCCCCTTTCTTCACTCGAACCTCGATGGTCTCCTCTACCTCTACCCATTTTGGAGAGAGGCCCTCAGCCTCTGTCACGAACAGTGTGGGCACAGCAGGTGTCCAGCCTGGCTCCACCTCAGGTCGGCAGGAGTCCAGTGGAGGTGGCGGCTTGGGGGTCTGGGTGGACAGGCCTGGCCTCTGTGGGCTGGTGGGGCGGCAGAGTGGCGAGCGGGATGGGGACTTGCTGGGGGACTGGCAGCGGCCACGAGGACTCTTCACCACAGTGGTGATGGTTTCCTCTCTGGTGGGGGAGAGGGCCCAGGAGAGATGGGCATGGAGACCCGTGGCCTTCCCAAGCACCATGCCATATGTAGATGCCAGAGCCCACATTAATGCAGGCAGCAAGGGGTGAGGCTGCACAAACTCCTACACATGCATATGATCCTGGCCTGCGGAACTCCATCCCAAAGCCAAAGGAACAAAGCACAAAGGCCCATGAGGTTAACCTCAGCTCGCATTGGGTCAATGGAAGGCCCAGGCTACAACCACAGGCTGGCACCTCCCTGTCTTGGCCACTTGGCCCTGCCAGCTTGAAAAGGGTGTACAGCATGTGCTCAGGGCCAGGCTGGGCAGGAAGGCTGGTTGGAAGGCGTGCAGCTAGCATGGCCCTTTCTGTGACCCCTGCCTGGCCCCATCCCCTGCAATGGTGGGCAGTAGATGGGCTGGGATGCTGCAGCTCCCTGCTCTGCCCTGGGGTGGTCCTGATGCCTTCACATGTGTCAGGAGGGACCCCGGGTGCTGGGTGAAGTGGGCCACAGCTGGGTGGAGGACACACTGCACTGCATACAGCCCTGGCTGTCCCTGGACTGGGGCCTGGTGCCATCATCCAACATGCCATGGTGAAGGCCTTGCCTTTCCTCCCTAGCTTTTGTCTACTCAGGGCTCTGTTCAGGATGGGCCAGGAACACAAGTCCACCCCCAGGTGCCCAGCAGGACAGGCCCTGACTCCCCTGGCCCTCACCCAGTGAGGACCCAGAGCTGAGCTTATGGCCCAGGTGGGGCACAAGCCTGAGGCCTCCTCACCCTGCTCAGGTACTGGACCTGAGTAGCAGCCTCCCCGATGTCAGATGTGCTGCCTGCCTCACCCTGCCCCCAGAAGGCATGAGGCCTCTACATGTGGCACAGGGCCCAGGTCAGGGGTGAACACTTCTCTCCCTTCCTCAAGTTGGACAGGTTCTTTCGTTCTGGTGAGAGCAGCCACTCCCCAAGGCTGGCACAGACCACGCAGAGGTCTGACCTACCTTCCTTCAGTTTCTCTGCTCCTCCGTCTCCATCTATCACCTAGGAGTGGTAACAGTGCCTCCTCCTGGGCAGCACGGCAAGTGATTGGTGTGGGCTACGGCTGCTCCTACTCCAGGACCAGTGCCCACCCACTATGGGTGCACCAGGCTCAGCCTCCTCTGCATGGCAAATACCTAGGAGGGGCTAACTCAGGGTTCTCCAGTGCAGACCAACTTCCCGCCTCCACCCAGTGTGGCTGTGTCTGTCCTGTTCCTGGGCTGGTGACTTTTATTTCCTCTGCCCCATCTGCCTCTCCCACAGCCTCAAAGGCACCTGGGGACGAAGAAAGGGTCAGTGGGTGCGGCCCTAGGTACTTGGGGCATGGCTGACTTCCACTTCCCCAAACCTCAGTTTCTCTGTCAATCAAAAGGGAGTGTTGGGCTCAGGGTCCTCAGAGGGCCAAGGGCTGTGCTATCCATCTCTGCTGCACTATTAAACTTAGATTCAGGTTCATAAAAAAGCAACCTCCACTGCACCAGACCCATCTCCAATGGCTGTCAGCCAGGAGGTCTTGCTGCAGACTCATCAACTCCCTCGCTCCTAGAATGCTGTCCCCAGCCAAGAAAGGACACAGCCCTCCATTCCCATTCCACCCAAGCCCAAACCCTGGCCACGTTGCCTGGAGTTGTGCAGACTAAATGACTCTGGGAGATGGTGGGCCATGGGCAGAGTCAGGCTCAGAGGGCTGTGCAGGTAGAGGAAGCCCAGTTCTGTGAGGTGCAGGTGACCATACGGAGTAAGGCCATGCGCAGGAGGAACAATGGTGCTACACAGGCAGGGTGTAGGGTTAGTGGCATGCGGGGCACCGCAGTCAGGAAGAGGGTTAGAGCACTTACATGATGACGGTTTTCTTGGGGACCTTAGTCTCCTGCTCAGTGACTACAAAGAGAACAGTGGGATAGCCAGGGTTACAGACCCACAGTGACCACGGCTGGCTCAGTGGTCTGCATGGCCTGGCAGTGTGGTTCCCCCTCAGCACAGGGGTGCTAGGTCCAAGATGAATGGCTGGAGTCTGGGGTTCTGTGGGGGTGTAGGGTACCTGTATTGCCCACTTGAGAACTCAGCCTCTTCCTCCACTGTGTGGTGGTTGCAGGGATCCCGCTAGCACATGGTCCCATTCTCAGACATGTAAACTGAGCCTCAGAGAGGGGAGAGGGGTGGCCAGAGCCACGCTGAGACCAGGATGGCCCCAAGAAATCCTAACGACCAAAAGGTACCTCTCCAGGGGAGACGGGCCTGAGAGTCCCGACATGGAACATCAACTCCTCCCAAGGACAGACCTGAGGATGCCAGGCAGGGTGTTGTGCCCATGGTACAGCTGACCCTCATCCTTCAGGAGCATCCTGCTTATAGCCTCTCTATTGCCTCCCTTCCCGACAGCAGGATGGGCCTGTGATTCCTACCTTGCATAGGGAACCTCAGCTCTAGGGACAGGACAGCTCACTCAGGGTCAGGCAGCATCTCTCTCATCCATCCTGAGGCAGTGAGGCATCCTCACCCCTTGAAGCTTCTGGATGGGGCTGGCTTGACTCAAAGATGCCCCTCCTGGCCTGGCTATCTGGCCAGCAGGCAGCCCAGGGGCTAGAAGCACCTGCCATCCCAGAAGGCCCCGGAACCACCTGTGTGAAAACTGAAGGGCCCAGGAGACTCAAGAGACACTGCAGGGACTGCAGCCTAAAGCACCTGGTCCTGGAGCTTTCATGAAGGAAGGTTCTCTCTAGGAGCTGGGGTGTTTTAAACCTGTGTCACATGGGGTGCAAGTGACTTTAATTTACTAGTGGTGCTTCTATGTGCCCTGGAAAGCTACACTTACTGTGCATATGTGCCATTATGTGTCACACATGTCTGTGTGTGCATCTGTGTGTGCATCAGCATGGTGCTTATGCTTACTCTTGGGTGTATGTGTGTGTGTGCATCCATGTGTGCCTCTATGTATGTGTTCACATGGGTGCGTGTGCCACATGTACACTGCTCACAATTCACACACCTGAGTGTGCTTGTGTGCTGATGTGCTAACACATGTATTTTGTCTGGGTGTTCCTATATGTGTGCACATGTACTCAAATGTGTGCACAATGTACTTGAGTCTGTGCATGTGCTCACGGTGGGGACCCTGTACATGGTGTCATGTGCCTATGCATGTGTATACATATGCACACAATACTTGTGTGTGTGCCTGCAGATGTGTGTACTCACATGTGAATCACATCTCTATGTACATAAACTCCCATGTGTCATGTGCATGCATATGCGTGTGCTCACAGGTGTATATCTGCACCTATGTGTTCATGCATTGTGTGCCCACGTCATGTGCCTGCATGTGGGTGCACATGTGAACCATGTGCCTGTGTGAGCATGTATACATGTGCTCACACATGTATCTTGTGCCTGGATGCTTATACTTGCTGTGTGTCAATGTGCCCATGTGTGTATATGGATCTTTGCATGTGTATGTTTGCACAAGCTGATCCCTGGAGGGAAGTAACTGGGGGGTGACCCAGGTCCCAGCCACAAGTTCTGGCTCTGGACGGAGTTGGACTGGGCAACAGCCAGCGCCCACCTGCAGTGTGGGATTGGGAACACTAGAGCTTCCTTTACGCTCCCTGCAGGTCCTGCTGCTCCTGGAGTGGGAACTGGGAAAAGCTGGCACTTGTGTTCACGGCCCCAAATGCCACCACTGGGCAATGAGTGTTTGCGACTGCAGGAGAGGGCAGCTGCATGAAGCGAGGCTCCCAGCTGGGCAGATGAGCAAGCGAGGGGATATGCCCACCAGGCATAGAGCCAGGTGAGGTGAAGCCACAGACAAGAGTTAGGAAGCAGGGTCTGGGCTCCAATGCCAGGTCTCCAGTGGCAGCCCCTGGCCTCACCAAGGTGCTCATGATGCACCTGGCCCCAGTGGCCCCAGGCGCCCCAGGCCTCTCTCCACACTGCCAGCCTCCTATGCACGCAGAAAGACACTGCCTTGACACCCAACGAACACATGCAGAGGATGCTTTCCGACAGAGATGTGACACAGAAGTGTGTGTGCCTGGTGCTGTGGGCACCATCACAGGTTTATGAACACCGTGGTCCAACAGACGTGGGCCAGACAGAGGGACTCAGGATGACAGGTATTCAGCCAGATCTTGGCTACATGAGGGACAAGGAACAAGCCCTCTGTCCCCCCAGCACAAAATGTCCACAATGACTGCAGATCAGAGCCTGATGTCCGGCACTGGGAGATTTTGGTCGGTGGACACCCACAGGAGCAGGTGGTGCGCATGGAGGGTATAGCTGCACCTCTACTTGCACATCCCCAGAACAGAAGGCACCACCTGCTTGGGCAGCCCTAAGGGGCATCTCCAAGTAGGCAGCCAGCACAGATGCCCACTGCCTTACTCCATACACTGGCTGCCCAGCAGGGACCCCGGAGAAGTGACGCATCATAACCCCCTTCACCTCCGTCCCTTGTGAGGCTCCTCTGCAGCCAATCCACTTCCAGAACCCTAGGAGTGGCCCTAGGCCAGGCAAAGACCCTGCATCTCTGCACCCCACGTGAGCCCCTCTTGCACCAAGATGGCCTGCTCCCTCTGCCCAACAAAGCACAGGTGATTTGAACAGGGGTCAGGCCCCTGCGTTCTGCTGCCTCTCAGGCCTCAGCCCACCTCTGACAACCCCACGGGTGCCAGTGGCAGCCCTCATGCCTCTCCATGACCCTTTCTCCCCAGGACCCCAACCCAGCCCCTGAAGTACAGCATGAACATGAGAAGTGACACTTAGTACCCCTGAATCCTGCCCAGGCCTACAAGGGATTGGCCTGGGAGTGCAAGTTGATGGGTGTGTGGCGGGACCTACCTTCCATGGCAGCCAAGAGCAGCTCCCTATGCCGCTGGTCCTGGGCCCGAAGCACAGGACTCTGCACACTCAGCTCCGTGCCCCCTCGGGCCATGCCTAGCCGGTTCACCAGCTGCAAAAGAGCCAGCAGAGGTGCCCTTGGATCCTACTTCCCATGGAGCCCAGGCCACCTCTTGGGGCCACACTAACATCTGCAGGTTGAATTACCCACCCTGGCTATGCCCTGATGGAGACAAGGCCTCCTGCAGTGACAAGCTGTTCCCCAAGGAGCATGGATCTTGAACTGGATTTAATTTTAATGGACTTAAATGTAAACAAGCATCACATGTGGCCAGTGACAAATGTATCAAACTATGCAAGGGTCCTCAGCTCCCAAGTGCATCCATGGGGCAGGGTCCCTGGCCAAAGACACCACATGGAGCACAGTGGCCTCAGTAGGGCTCAGGAGAAGGTGGCATGGCTAGGGCCAAGCTCCCAGGGCAGCAGAGTGATGCCTGGCTATGTGGGGTCCCTGCTGTGGACACAGAAAACAGGGACCAGGTACTTCATCCCTCAGCAGTGCTGCATCTCCCATATGGCCTTCACCAGCACCAGGTCCTCTCAAGGGGTGACAACCAGGCAGCATCTCTGAACTGGCAGAGCCAATGGCAAGGAGACCAAGAAGCAGGGTCCCTGCTGCTATGGGAGCTGGGAGGCTACAGGCAGGGGACAGCCAAGAACAGTCCTGGGCAGGGGTGACCTCAGTGTCTGTGCCCCAGTGAGACACAGCCCCTCAGCCCACTCACTTCACACTCATAGTGCCCCAGGTCCTCGTGGCTGGCTGCCCGGATCACCAGTGCCAGCATCCCGCTGCGGGGCTCACTCAGCATGCCATACTTGCTTCCCTGGCTCAGCAGAGCCCCGTTCCTGTACCACCTGCAACCCAGGAGGCCATGAGACAGGGACACCCTTGGCATCCTTCCCAGGCCAAGCCAGCAACTCTGGAGCCCACCTCACAGTCCAGCCTGACCGTGTTCCCCCAGCCCGCTGCTCAGGGGCTGGCAGCTGTGCCAGCCCAGCCCTGACCCAGTGACAGCCGCCCAGCCCACACCACCCACAGGGCCTGCACCCCACCTGACTTGAGGGTACGGGGCACTCTCGATGGTGCAAGTGACCTGGGCATCCTCACCTTCCACGAAGGGCCCAGCCCGAACCTTGTTCACAAACCTTGGGGGGACTGCAGGAGGAGGAGTGGGAGGTAAGAGACACAAAGAGAGACGGAGACCCAGACAAGCAGAGAGGTGTGTGGGGACAGTGAGGAGAGACAGGGAGCGGTGAGCAGCGGGCGCCACGCCGGGGCCACTGCGCCTCCGCAAAGCGCTGCCTGGTCTCCGTGACATCATCTCCACAGACCCCAGAGCAGGGACCCTGAGCCACGAGGCACCCACCCACCTTGCACCAGGATCTTCCCCAAGGTGCTGGCGCTTCCAGCAGCACTGGCTGCAAAGCACATGTACTGGCCGGAGTCCACACCAGTGAGGGTGTCCAGGATGAGGGCACATGAGCCGTCGGGGTCTTCAATGAGGATGTGGTGAGGGTCCACTTCCACTGGCTTCCCATCTAGAAAGCAGGGCACAAGCCTGTCACGGTGACAGAGGTTGGGTCTAGTCCATGTCTCCTGCGTCTGGGTCCTCATCTGGTCTGTCACTGCTGTCTCTCTCTGCTCCTATGTCCATCACTTCTCTTCTCTGTTTTAAGAGCACAGCAGGACCTGTCTCTGTCCCTGTCCAGCATGGGCACCCGCCAGAGGGGGTAGGTGGGGGACTTGCACGAACAAGCACACACTACAGGGAAGCCAGATACTTGGTCACCTCCCCAGGACGTTGCAACTCTTCAGGACCTTCCTGGTGCTGGCCAAGCCTGGATCACACAATCCCCACCCACCCTGGCCCACCACCTTTCCCTGGTCACCACGCAGCACCTTCCTGTCCTCTCACCCACACACAGCCCTGCAGCTGGACATGGAAGTCGGGTCCTCCAGGAATGTCACCAAACCCCACCCCAGGAGCAGCCCAGACCCAGCACTCAGCCTCTGAAACCCACATGCTCTGGACAAGCCCCCCTCAAGCTGTCTCCCTCCTCCACTGAGTCAGAGCTGCCCGAAGAAACCCTCCTGGGGCAGAGGCTGGGAGCCACCCTGCAGCTGCCATCTCCCAGGCAGCATGCACATGGCAGGCCCCCTCTTCTAAAGTACTCTTGTGTAAAACACAATGAAAGAGTTACAAAGTCTGAAAATAATAAAAGAAGGCAGCGAATGGTCTTCCAATAAAAGAAACATAAAGACTGAAAATGTCACAATAATCAACCATGTATGATGCCACTCAAATGTGTCTGCCCAAGGCCAACTTCCTTCCTGGGGAGAAGACATTGCCCTGCAGAGAACCTTGCCGTGAAACATCCATAGTCTTAGACCCATGCATCCACACATTCCAGCAGCTCTGCCTATGGCCTCCCACTCTCAGGGCCTGAGGTCCAGTGTGCCAGGAACCTCGAGTGGGAACCTCTTTGTGGGACACAGGGGCACAGCGGTTTCAGCTCCTGAACTGGGATGTCCCAGGTGTCTCAATCTTCAGTCACAGACAAGCTGGAGGGATGTCCCCAACTGTGGAGAAGGGGCAGGAGCACACATGGCCACACCCAGCCTGTCTCCCTGTCCCTTTCCGGTGGGTTGACAGGAAGAGAACCCCAGAGGAGAAGGCTGGGACCAGGCCAGTGGTCGTCAAAGGCAACCATGGTGACAACAGTGGCAACAGTGGTGATGAGGAGTCAGGACACACAGGCCTGTGTGGCCAGAGAAGGAGCTGCTGCCTGGCAACAGATTATCACCAGTTCCCTGTGGCTGCTGCTCCACAGCATAGAAATAAATGCAACCATGCCAGAGCCACCGCACCAACCAGCAGCCCCTCATACCCTCCTGGGCACACTGGGCACCAGGAGGACCCTGGCCACACTGTACTCAGCTTTATACCCTGACCTCCACAGCCCCTGACACTGAATAAAGCATGCTGTCCTTAGGGTGGCCAGTTAGAAGCATCGTTCTGGCTCTACCAGTGGCAGGACCTGGACGCTGCTGCCCACACAGGAAAAGTCACCAAGACCAGGCTCTATGCCTGGATTCCACCTCTCTCACAATGGCGAAAGGACCTTATCAGATTGTACCCTGCCTTTGGATCTCAGCCTGCAGACCACGAGCCCAGGAACCCTACTTTATAAAGAGCCAGGCTCAGGTGTCTTGCAGAACAGAGAGTGACTAAGACAGGCTCTGCATTTCTGAGACTGCGCATGCTGCCACCTGGAGTGTCTGGCCATGGGCGGCCACCAGACACACTGCTCTGATGCCAGCTCCCTGTGCAGCATGCATGGGGGACACCAGATGCCCAGCCCAATGACACCTGGATTCTCCCCTTGGGAGCCAATCCTTTCAGACTCTGAGACAGCAAGAGGGAATGGCCCCGCCCTCCTCACCCACAGAATGGAAACAGAGCCAGCTTCTCTACTGCACTGGACATATGGCTACTTCCTGACAGGTGCTCTGAGCTCCATCCCACCAGCCATACAGACAGCTGGCTCCGTATAACTGGGACCTGCAGAACCCGACATGGGGCCTGGGCTTGGGCCTCCTATCACCCAGCGAAGCAAAAGACCAATGAGAAACGCCAACCACTGTACCACCCAGCCCCGTATCCAGGTGGTGAGTGCCCACCACAGCTGTGACCTCCATGAAGTAGCCAGGGGGAGCAAACTGTACACACTAATCAGTCTTCCTGGCTGGGACCCAGAAGCCATATCTGCCTCTGTTCCATATGGTGACATGCACCTCAGGGTGGTCTGAAGGATTGGCTGGTGTTCAAGGAAACCTCACCCATGAATTATGTGGCCCCAGACACCAGCGGGTCTCTCACACTTAGGCTTCCAGCCAAGCCTGGGACTCGGGCATGATAAGCATTACTTACAACAGGGCTGCTCAATCAGAAGACATGCCTAGGAATGTGTCCCTGCTGCCACTTGAGTGGGCACTGACCTCCCTAGCCCACAGACACTGAGATGGGTCCCTCACCACCAGGGCACAGTGCACCCAGCTAACATCCTCCCTGTGGATGCAGGCAGGTAGAGCAGGTGACATTGCCCCCAACAGATCAGGCAATGACTGATTAGGCCACATCTAATATACCAGATGCTGCCCTGACAGGTGAGGCAGTGCCGCACCTGGCACACTGGGCCAGGCTGACACCTGACAGATGAAGCCTGCTTTGTCATGGAACACTGCCTGGCTGTGACTGCTCATCTGGCAGATATGGAGCGCGGGGCAGGTGTATGTCTGTGTGCACAGCATCTGTGTGTGGTGTCCCTGTGTGCCTGTAGTGTTTCTGTGTGCACAGCATTGTGTACATGTGTGCAGTGTGCCTGTCTGTGTTTAGTGTGAAGTTACATATGAACCCGTCTTTTGTGTGTATGTATGCACAGGCATTAGTGTGTAGTACATGTGTCTAGTGTACACTTTGTACATATTACATTATGTCCACATGCACATATAAGGACATGGCATGTGTGTGGCACACGTGGCATATACACAGATAAGGCATGTCTTTGTGTGGGTATATGTAGTGTGTGTGTATGTGTAAGTGTGAGTGCATGTGTGTACCACAGTGTGCCCTCACGAGTACACGTGCCCCTGGGATGTGCTCGGCTCTGGTCCTGGTGGCCGCTCTGGGTGCCCCCGGTCTCTCCCCCCATGCCACCCCTCACAGGCTCCCTGGCCCTCGCAGCTGCCCTCCCTCCACTCACTTCCCCTTGGGAGACCCTGGAGTCACAGCCCCGTCCTGGAGCCCTGGTCCTCACCCCTCCTGGCCCTCATCCCACATCCACCCCGGCCAGCAACATTGGTTACCCTGCCTCATTTCAGGCCAGGTCACTCTCTGCCTTCAACAACTGCACTGGAACTCTGTGACACCCCAGCTTCTCACCGTCCCCTCGTGGGCCCTGCTGTTGGCTCCCCTGTTCCTCCTGCCTCTGTCAGCAGAGCCACCAGCAGCTCAGGCCCTGTGCCTTCTCCTGTGCCCAACCTCCCCAGCCCTCCCAGGGCAGCATGTGTTTGGGCCACCTTCCAAATGCACCCAGGACACAGCACAGCCCCAGCATCAGCATGGTGCCACAGGTGCCCGCTCTTCTGTCCTCTCAGCCTCTCTACATCACAGCCACAGTGACAGATAGCGGACGCCATCTGTGTCTCTGCTGGTCAAGACACCACAGGGCTTCCATGCCGAGGCCTCATGACTCTGCCCGAGGCTCAGGGGCTCCCCTGGCTGGTGATACCTTGTGTGCCACCAGTGTCACTGACAGAACAGGGCTGTTGGACAGCTCCGCCAGAACAGGATAACTAAAGATTCACATGGTGACACCTGAGCCCTGCCCAGTGGCCTCAGTCCGGGTCCTCTGCTACCATAACCCATGACCTGAGAGTCATGGTGAGCCCTTCTAGGGAGTGGCAAAACCGAGGCTGCCAGCAGTCTGCTCCAGCATCTGAGACTGGCCTGCCTCAGCATCACAGTGGCTTGCTGCTCACTGGAGAGCTCAGACACTACCTGGAAGCTGTCCGGGCTCTGTCGCTCTGTCTCCTTGTGTGCTCCCACTGTAACTTCATGTCACAGGCTTCTCTGTACATCATCTATTCAAAGACTGTCAGCCCCTGGCCAGGCCTGGCCCATCCATGTCCCTCACACCCTGGCCCTGCTGAACCTACACATGGCCTTGGACTTTGCAGCCGCTGAGATTTCCTGTGAGACTCTGCCCCAGTGCAGGCCAGCACCTGGACAGGAAGGTTAGGGACCCCAGCCCTGGGTTGCACCTTTGTACCAGCTGACAATGGGCTTTGGCATGCCCGTCACACGGCAGGCCAGCTTCACCGTCTCGCCCAGCTCGGCTGTACAGTCGGCTAGCTCCTCTTCAAACTCCGGGGCACCTGCAGGGACACAGGGTGCTGAGCACTCTGTGGGGGCTGTGAGGTGTGCAGACCCCACTGGTCAGTACTGGCAGGCTTCCCCACCCTGTACCAGTCTCCTTGAATCTGCAGGAGTGGCTGCTACCATCTAGCGTCCCAACCCAGTAATTGCAGACACTGGGGGGGGGCTGTGGAGAAGAGTCCACGACAGCTGGACCGGAGGCTTGGATGCACACCCTTCCCAACTGACAGGGTGTCCAGGGATGCTCCAAGCTGGATTTCACATGTGTCCCCATCCCTGGAGACACCTGCTCAGGGCTCTGGGAGGCCACTGCCATGGGCCCCTCACAGCACGGATCCTCCAAAAACCCTCAAGGCTTTGGGGAAGGGGAGAGGCTCGTCTGTCGAAGCACCCTAAGCCCAGCCTGACCCCCAGCATACTCACTCCACACGGACAGGGCCAGGCGCTGCTGGATACCACAGATTTCCTTCACCCACGAACTCTTGATGACGGCTGTCCGCGCCTGCAGCAGGTACTTTCGCACAGAGTCTTCGCGCTCGTGCCACACCTCAAAGGCACGGTCATCCCCTTCCACCTGGTCGTTCAGGTCGATGCTGCTCAGCTGTGGGTGGTGCAGGTGTCAGCAGACTGAAGACTTCTGAGGCTGAGCCCAGGCCCCTGCGCTGCAGGGCCCCAGCCCACGGCCACAGACCTTCATCATGGTACGGAACACGTAACTAAAGGTGTCAGTACGTGAGTCCCGCCGGGGCTTGCAGATCACCAGGTGGTGGCGGAAGAGGAAGACATGGCGCTTGTGGCCCTTCCAAGGCATCCGGGCACCCGGTGTACCCTCCCACACGATGAAGTGGCCCTGGGGGGATGTGAGTGGTTGGTCAGTCTGCACAACCAGCCCTGGGGCACCCAGTGTTAGCTTCCCACCATGGCCGTGGCACACCTGGCGAATGGGCTCCCCGAGGGCCTCCAGGGTGCCTGGGTAGTTCTCCATGAGAGACACGTGCAGCTTGTTCTCCGCACGCTGGGGCAGGGCAGACACCACAGCATAGGCCTGCTCCAGCAGCGCACAGTTCTGCCGATTGCGGGCCTTGTTCCGGATCAGCTCCTGAGGAGCAAGGGGCAGAGTCAGGTCTGGAGAAGACCCAGCCCCACTTCCCAGGCCCACATGGCAGGCTGGCGGGTCCCACCTTCAGCAGAGCCTGGTAACGCTGCACACGCTCCACTGGCTGCTCCAGGTAGTGCTGCAGTGGGAGTGGCGGGGGCTGCGAAGGGTCCCTGGTAGGCAGCGTTTCCTCCATATACTTCTGCAGGAAACGGAGTGGGGGTCAAGTGGAACACACACCCTCGGCTGGGGTCACTCTGAGCCTGTGGATAGCTGGGGTGACACAGCTCGCACCCCATGAGGAGTGGGACACTGGATCAGGGAGCAGCAGGCAGGGCACCTTATAGAACTCCTGCACTGGGGTGCTAATGACCACCGCCTCAGCCTGAACACGGCCCACCAGGAACTCCAGGTACTTCTCGAAAGCCTCCTGGTTCTTGATGAAGCACATAGCCACATCATCATCTGTGTCACAGCGTTGCAGCTCCTTCAGGAAGCTGCCACAGAAAGGACACACAAGTGTACAAGGCTCCCACACAAAAGCAGACCTGTATTGTGGGCACATGTGTGTGCATGTGTGTACATAAATGCGTGTGCCCACCTTTGTACAGTGTATGTTCATATGTGCTTGTTTATACCTTTGCAATGTGTATATACAATGGATATACATATGTGGTATGCACATGGGTGTGCACTATACACCTGCATGCCTTGCATGAGTGTGCAAGAGTGCAGGTGCATGGAGACCTTCCAGGGTGTGCATCTGATGCATGTATGCTGTGCTGGACACACAGGCATGCATGTAAGAGTGTGCACATGGTTGTGTGGTAGGTGAGGACTGCATGTGTTCACAGATGCCCAGAGGGATACATGTGCACGCATGTGAGGGTGTGTGGCAGGCCTTCCTGTGTGTCAGCCAGTGCACACATCACATCACCTGATAGTAAACTGGCAGGCGGCCCATCCCTCCCAGCTCCTGCCCGAGCCCAGCCAAAAGCCTCACTTGCTGTGGAAGCAGCTGATGTCCTGCACATTGCGGAAGATGACCTCCTTCTGGCTGGCCACAGCAGGGGGCACACGGGGACAGCAGTCCAGGTGCTGCATGTGGTGGCTCTGGAGGAAGTGCAGCTCACCCACAAAATCCTGTTCTGAGCTCAGCAGCTCCCGGATGATAGCGCTGGGTGGGGAGCAGCCGTGAGGGGACTGGGGCCATATAGTCATGCATGTATTGGCTGCCCAGGGCCTCAGCTCCTTCTGCCACTGCAGCTGCCACTGCCCATCCAAACAAGGTGAGAGGTACAGAGGAACCCCTCCTTCACATGGAAACCCTGCCAGCGGGATGTCCTGAGGACAGGGCAATGGTGGACACCACAGGCACTGGCCTGCCCTCTGTCCTTGGCCTTCACCCAACCTGGATCAGCATGCATGACCCCCAGAAAGAAATGTGCGGAGCCCCCAGCCCAGAGCCAGGAGGGTCTGCCCTTGCCCAGCACACTCACCTGAGCTTCGACTTGTACTCATCTTCAGACATGGCCTCCCCTGGGAAATCAGGGGCCTCGGGGGGCCCCCACTCTGGTGACAGCTATGAGGGGCAGGCTGAGGTCAGGCTGTGACCCCACATGGGGATGTGGCCAGTGACCACCAACCTCCATGCCTGGCACTGGTACCTTGAGCCTCTTATCCAGGTAGGCTGGTGACACCCAGCCTTGCCGGGAGGGACTGGACTTGGTAGGCTTGGTGCGCACGAGCCAGCGCAGTGGGTGAGCCGCATCGAGCACCTCTACGTACTGCCCCTCCCGCAGCATGATGGCATCCTGCTCAGCTCCCAGGGGGAGGTAGTTGGCAGTGACCACGTAGATGTCAAAGATCTGACAGGGAGAGCGATGCACTGAGCAGGGTGGGAGACAGACACTAGGCCACCCAGGCCCCAGCTGCCCCCAAGGATCTAAGGGAGGAAGGGACTCAAGGCCTGCTGTGCCCAGACTTCAGGGCAGGAGTCCCCAGGTCATGTCACACCTCAGGGCTGCCACCCATAATGGACAGCAGAAATAGGGCCAACAGAGGCCACCACGCTTCCCGTGTCCACACTGCCTCATCACATGCCACCCACCATCCTAAGACCTAACAGGGCGCTAGGTGTGCTACAGGCACAAGACTCATCCAAGTGCGTAAACAGAGGGTTCTGCTAGGAAGCCAGTCTGCAGGAACCTTGTGCGTGAGGACCCAGCTCAGAACCCACTCCTCAGGAGGGCTGACCCTTCCAGGTCCACTCTCAGTCTTGATCACCCACCTCACCACGGGAGTCCCCGTCCTCTGACTCTGAAGAGGACTCCTGCACGCTGGATGAAGGCCGTGAGCGGCCATGCCGGGGCGATGCAGATGGTGTCTTGGACTCCTCATCACTGTCACCTCCAGGCACCTGCAGCTTAGCTGGCGAGGGGTACCAGGGTCATGATGCTCCCAACTGCCCAGGGCCCAGGACGTGGACAGACCCAGAGACCCCACACAAGGGTCGACGGTTCCCACCCAAGGGCACTGGTCTCACCCTGTGTGATCTTGGCAGACACCATCTCAGAGATCTGGGAGGTGAGCTTCTGCAGGAACTCCTCTGTGCCCACCTCAGCAAGTGACAAGTGGCCATGTTCTTCCTCAGCTACCAGGGCCTCACCTGGGGGGCACACAATTACCCAGCATCCCAAAGGCCAGCCTCAGCAGGGGCTCAGTGGCACATAGCTATCTATAGGAGTGATGCTTGGCTGTGCAGGACCAAAGCCTTGCTGGCTCGTGAGCATCTGAGCTGAGGTGTGGCCAACAGGGCCGAGGGTAAGAGGAAGCAAAGCTGCACAGAGGGGACAGTGGGTGACCAGGGACAGTGGACTCCACTGAGGGACAGTGGGTGGCTCCCACAGCTGCAGAGTAGAGGGCAATGGAATGGAGGACGGAGGTGGGAGCGTATCAGACCTACCGTCAGGTTGGCACTGTTTCCACCCCCTGTACTTCATACCCAGGCATCCGCACAGCTTGTGGGACCTGACCTGTCTCAGGTGCATGGGGTCAGAAATAGCTCTGACCCCAGCCAAGGCCTGGACACATCCCTGAGAAGGCAGGGCTCAGCCCCAGAGCCCACACCCAGCCATCGCACAGTCTAGGAGGAGGCACCCACACCCCACATCAGCACAGAGCTTGAGTGCTCACTCTTCCCATACCTTTCCTCTGTCCAGCCAGGCTGGTGACACCTGCAGATTCTAACATCTGTGCAGAGATAGCTTGAGTGGTCCTGGGGGAAAAGCGTGACCTGAGAGGCTGGGGTGCACCACGCCCCAGAAAGGCTAGGGGCAACAGGCCAGGATGCAATTATCGGGGTCCCTGTGCCAGCCGGCCCCAGGAAGCCCTCTCTTTATGTGTGGAAACTGAGGCACAGGAGGCTGAGGCTGGCCTGAGCCCCATGGCCTGCATGGGGAAGGGAGCTCCTGTTCCTCTCCTACCCCTCCCAGCCTAGCCAGGTTCCCACTCACCCCTGCAGGAAAGAGGAAATGAGAGCTTCCTTTGCCTTCTCTGGCTCCTCCTCCTGAGGCACTGTCAGGAGAACAGACCTTCAGGCAAGGTCCCTGACCCCAGACATAAGACCCCAGGTTCCTGGGCCACCCTACCACAATGGAGAGCCTGGGCTGGATTCAGGGGCTTGGGGTGTATCCTAAATCTGTTGTGCTGGGGGTTTGATCTGTTCTTGAGGCCTGGATGGGGTCCCAGGCCTCACAGGGTGAAAGACCACACCCCGACGTACCTGATGCCACCCCCTAACCCACCCATTCACCCCACTCACGGCCAGAAACATGCAGGCTGGCGGAGCACAGGGCCTGGCCGGCAGCGTTGGATGCAATGCAGGTGTAGGTGCCCTGGTGTTGACGGCCCACATTCAGCAGCACCAGGCTGTGCTGCTGGCCCGAGCTAGCCACTGTGTAGCCTGGAGTGTCAGGACCGATCCATAGCACACCCCTCTCTACTTCCTCCCGGAGCCAGTGCACAGCAGGGACAGGCTGTCCTGAGGAGGGAGGCAGGTACCCCATATGGGAGTGGCCAGGGACCCAGCACACCTCCAGGACCCACTCAACCTCCAGAGAGAGCCCAGACCCTAGGTACAAGTCTAATCCCCCTTCTCTGGAAGATAAGGCCATTGCCTGGTTCTGGGCCCGCAGAGACCTTGGTGCCGTCTCTGAGTCTCTGGGGTGAGGTGGGGGCATCACTCCGAAAACTGCCTACCTTCTACCTTCACGGAAAACGTGATGCTAGAGCCCCGCTTCACCTTCTTGGGGGTGAACCTCTCCAGAATCCGGGGTGGCACCAGCTGGTCATGCACATCTGGAAGGTGGGAGTCACTCACTGGTGGACACCCCAAGCCCTTCCACCATGTCTATGCCCCTGCATGGCCCATGCCTCCCCTAGGTCCCTCTTCCAGCCCAGACCCAGGGCAGTGTCCAAGCCTGCCCAGTAGGTCAGTTTACCTGAGGCCAGCTTCTCCTCAGGGTCCTCAGGGCCTGGAAGGCAAAGGGGTCAGACATTAGCACACACTGCCCCCACCCCCGGGCTATGGAAGGTGCTATGGGGCCCAGGTCACGCTGCCATGGGCACAGGCTCCCAACCCTTTGTTGGGCCATCATCCAGGAAGCCAGCCCACACACTCAGTGCACAAGTACTTTCTGCCCCCTCATCCCCCCACCGGGACTGGGGCCTCAGCTAGAGCCATCGTGTGGACACTGGTGCACATAGCAGCTGAAAGTCACGCTTGTGATGCAGGCCAGGCCTGGGTCACATTTGGAACTAACTTTCAGTAAAAAGAGGAAAACGTGGACTTTTCTTTTTTTTTTCCCCACGTGGTTCCACAAGAGGCCCAGGCCCTCTCCCACAGATACCCACCCACTCCAGCCACAGTGACAATGCCCGCAGGGGACACTGTTCTAGGGCTGCATCTCTGCCTTGGCCCGGGGCACCCACCGCGGACCAACAACCGGGCAGATGAGTAGGCAGTGCCCACAGTGTTGCTGACGTAGGCCGAGTACTGGCCAGTGTCCTCCCGGGTAACTGTGATGATCTCCAGGGTGTGCAAGCTCTTCTTGTCTGTCATGCGGATGTGAGCAGATGCAGTCAGAGGCTGGCCATCTTTGAACCAGTACAGTCTGGGGACTGGGTAGCCTGGGGAGCAGAGGGCAGCAGTCAGCACAAAGCCAATACCCATGATCACCAGGCCCAGTCCAGGGCCACCTCCCCACAGGCACCACACATCCAGAGGAAAAGGCCCCAAACCATCATATCTCTGTCTCCTGTGTGCCCTCCTGCATACCCACCTAAGCCTCACTGGCAGTCCCACTACCCGGCCCTCACCTTTCACCTTGAGCTGGAACTTGGCCAGGCGTGTGCCTGGAGTCACCTGCAGGTCCTTCAGTTCCTCCACCACCTGAGGAAGCTGCCCCTCATCTGACTCTGTGCCCTCTTGCTCCCGGCTGGCAGGAAGAACAAACACAGGGGCAGCCTCTGAGTAGACCAGAAAGACAGCCCACAGAGAGGCCACAGAGATGAAGGTCAGATGTGGGTGGACTCTGGGGCTTGGATCAGAGACCACCAGGCCTGACTGGAGGCTCTAGGGTCTGCCTGGTCAGTCCATACCCCATTAGCTGAGCACCACAGCCCTGGACATTAGTCACCGGGCTCAGCAGTCTGTGTGACCACCACACAGCCAGGTGTCCCCAGGTCTCCACAGGCCCCCACCTGGACAAGTATCCCTGGGCACTGAAGTAGGATGAAGTCTCCGTGGCATCGGCTGCAGTGTCGTAGTCTGTGCTGGTCACTGGGGAGAGAAGGGGAGCTAGAGGAAGCCAAGGACATGGCCAAGGACACAACAGAGCTGGGAGACCCTCAGCCTGGTGTCCTGAGAGGAACAGCTGCTTTGGGTCTCCCTATTCCTGGTAGGCACCAGCCTCATGGCTAACTCCCATCTCTCTGACCTAACAGACTGCAACTATCACACTTCTAGGTGCCGGGCAGTGACAGTAACAGAACCTTCATGCTCCAACCTACCAGCCAGGAGGGCTGGAGAGACATGGCTGAGACCTCAGAGCATAGCAAGACCCAGACTCACCACTCTGATGGACAGAGCATGTGTCCTCCACAGAGGTTAAAACACTAACCCTCAGGGGCTTCGAGAGTGGACTTTTGGGAGGTCCTGAGATAAAGCTTCAAGAAAAGACCAGGATTACCACCCTTAAAAATGAGCCAGGCATGGTGGTACACATTTGAAATCCCAGCACTCAGGAGACTGAGGCACAAGGATCTAGACCAGCCCAGACTGCACAGTGAGACCCCATCTCAAGACAAAAAAGGAAGATGAGGGTTGGGCATATGGCTCACTGGTAGGTGGTAGAGCACTTGTTAGCATGCATGATGCCCTGGGTTCAATCTCCAGGACCACAACAAAATAAAACAAAAAAATGCAAACTTAAGAAAAACTATAAATCTAAAGTTCCCAGAAGATCCACACACATCAAAGAGAAACACAGTATTAAAGTACAGCAAAGAATACTGCCATCCAATCACCAAAAAACCAGCAACAAAAAGTGAGATCCCCTTGCCCAAACCCAATGGCCCCAGAGGTTGCTCTGTCTCTGACTGGGACAGGTGGTGGCTCCGACCCTGCCCAGCCCAAACCTGTGCCCTGACTCCCCACCCTGGCAGCACTCACGCTCCACACGGAGCTCAGCCTTGGTGGAGGAGACGCCCACGCTATTCTCAGCCAGGCAGCGGTAGACGCCCATGTCCGCAGGCACCACAGAGGTGATGATGAGCTGGTGGCCACCCTGCTGGTCCTCGTTGATCATGTAATGGTCGTCCTCCTCCAGCAGCTTCCCATCCTTGAACCAGCGCACGCTGGGCAGGGGCTGGCCTGTCACCATGCAGTCGAAGCTCACAGGGTACCCATCCTGCACCTCTTGGTTCTGTAGCTCCGTCAAGAACATGGGGGCTGGGACAAGCAGAGGGGAATGTGAGTCCCCATAGGCCAACAATCACCCTGGCCATGCTGCCCACACCTCACCCAGGGTTGAGTGACATGACACATGGGTTCTCAGGGGTGCGTCCGCAGACCTCCAGGCGGAAGGGACTGAGGCTGCCTGCTGACTTCCCCTCCTGCTCCCCCAGAACTCCTTCTCAGACCCCAAGCTTCTACCAGAGACAAGAGGGAAGAAGGAGGGGGACATGCAGGAAAGGGGATAGCCTTGTGAACCGGGAGATCTAAAGTGTGGAAGTGCTCAAAATCCAAGAGAAGCTTCTGGGCATAAGGAAGCTTCAGGTCATCACCTAGAATCTGCTAATGTCCCAGAGACGCATGAGTCAATGCTGAGACGGAGTCTTAGCTATGCTCGATTGCCAAATTGGTCTCTTTTGACAATTGTTAAGGGAAACAAACCCCCAGGAAGCAAGTGTTCATCTCTGCACAGGTGAGGACCGAGGCTCAGAGAGGCTGAAGCAGCTGCCCCATAGCACACAGCACTTCCCACCTGGCAGCTGCACCTGTTCCCACCTGGTGGCACTCTACTGACTGACTGCAGCCACCACAAGCTTCTCCAGGCCCCACCCACCGCTCCTCCTCCCCCACCTGAGGCCCAGCTCCAACCTGGTCGAGGCAACTGCCCACTCACCAGCATCAGAGGGCTGCAGGCCAGGCTCTGGCTCCCGAGGCATGGCAGGATTGGGCACCACCTTGCCTATACGCATCTCCACTGCCCGAGGCCCCTGCTCCGTGAGGCGGATGTCCACCGTGACACCCATGGTGGCAAACATGTCCTGAAAGCAGGTGCTGGCCCGGCGGGCCTCTTCGAGTGCTTCGAAGCGGATGCAGATGAAGCGCTCATCCTCGTGGTAGGTCTGCCCGTGGTCAGCAGGCTCCTCCAGCTCTGCAGGGCCCTCATCGGCGCTGAGGAAGAGCTCCTCATCCGAGACCTCAGCTGGGCCCTTGGTGCGAAAGAGCCGGTGCAGGCGCCGGGCAGCCCGTCGGAAGGCTTCGTCCAGCTCAGTCCCCGAGGAGCTCTCAGCCTCGCTTTCCGTGCCACTGACCACCACACAGGCGCTGTGGCTCACTTGACCAAACCTGCTGCTCACCCGACATGTGTAACGGCCAGCATCGACATGGCCCAGGCCAGTGACCAGCAGAGAGCAGGTACCATCCCCTAGCTGGTCCATGTGGTAGTGTCGTCCATCTGTCAGCTCCACCCCATCTTTCAGCCAGCAGGCCTGCACATCTGCCTTGCTGGCCACCACACACTCCAGCCGCAGGGCATCACCCACTTGTGCCTCTGTATCCCCAAAGGTGCGGGAGAAAACAGGCCTTTCCTGCTGCTTTATCTCCTTGCGGACCTTGTAGCCTTTGAAGGCAGCTTGGATCTTCACAGCTGCTCTGTCCATGGAGGGGTCACCCAGACCCTCAGTGCTCGAGTCTCCTGGAGGCAGGTGCGCAGTGGGGGGCTGCTCCTGCTGTCTCTGGGGCTTCACAGAAGGGGTAGCTGGGGCTCCAAGCTGGGGGCACAGAGTGCAGTTTCACAGTAGGGCAGGGAAAGCGGGCAGGTGTGCTGTCCTGTCCCCACCCAATGGCAGCCATAGGAGCATCACTGACGTCCAGGTGCCCACTGGCCTCTACTGATATGGCTGTGAGGAAGAGCAGGAGGCCAGTTCCAGCTCTTTAGAGGTTCAGTGGCAGCTGAGGAGATAAATGGATGTGCGGATGGAAGGCCAGAGAATGGACAGGTGAATGGAGACTCAGCAGGTGGACAAGTGACAGTGGGTAGATGGGAAATGTCTGAGTAGATGGGTAGATAGAGAGTGGCTCGGTAGGCAGATGAAGGGATACACGCATGGAGGATGGCAGAAAGGGATGCACAAAGGGTTAGCAGTTGTGTAGGTAAACTGATAGATAAATGAACAGATACAAAAGAGAAGGAGGGATGTACAGATGGATGGTGGACAGGGGGAAGATGGAAGAACAGAAGATGGATGTTTGTACGGATGCATGCAGAAGTGGTAGATAAATAGATGGGTGGTGGTGGACAGGGCAACAAACAGATGCTTAAGCAGTTAAACAGGTGCATGGATGCAGAGTGAGAGATAGTGGATGAGCAAATGGAGGAATTTAACCACAGATGAGTTGATCAGTCACAGATAGGTGGATGGATGATGGGTGGGCAGAAGGATGGATGGACAGGCTAAGTGGACAGATGAAAGATGGTGGTAGATCATGGGCAGAAGGATGGATGGACAAGTGCCAGATGCACTGATGGACAGCAGAAAGGATGGATGGCTGCGCAGAAGCTCCATGAGTGGCTGTGAGGAAGGAGGAGTGCACAGAAACTGGACAGACATCTCCCTGTGCCGGGCAGGAGGCTCACCTTACTGGTCAGGGGTGAGGCCCCAGGCCTGCCAGCTTTCTTGAGGTAGGTCACCAGAGAGGGGGTGCCTGCCCGTGACTCGTCGTCTGAGCTGGTGTGTGAGAGGTCAGCCTCTCCGGTGCGAGCCAGCTCATCTGCCGTAGAATAGCCCTCAGAGAGGTCAGGGGCCACCTCCTCCACCTCCTGCCTCAGGCACTGCACACGGCTGTCCTCCTCAGGCAGCTCACTGATGGAGTCCAGTGTGGGCTCACGGCTCATGCGGCGCTTCCGGGCCAGTGCCTCCCAGAGCAGGTGCAGGTCACCCTCCTGGGCCGCCTCAGGAGGCAGGCTGGGCTGCATGGGAGCCTCATGCCCAAAGTCAGGGCTCAGTATCACTGAGAAGAGCAGGAGGCCAGTCAGTAGGCCAGGATGGATATGGCCCAGACACACCTTTGCTGCTAACCCGCACAGACCCTGGGCTGTAGCCTCAGCGGACCCCTGCTTGCACCTGGCACCAGGTACTTCTGCAAGGTCTTGGACCTCTTGGTCCGCTGCAGCCACTGAGGGTCTTGGAAGCTCTACACCTCAGCCCTCCCTGCGCTCCCAAGGCCAGCTTGTCTGTCTAGTGCATAGGCACAAGGTGACCAAAGGAGGAAATCTGTCAAGTCTAACTGGGCTGTGTCAGCCCTCTCTCTCCCTGCTACTAGAAGAGGAGACAGAGATGCACAAAAGACTTAGTCCACCATCACCCAGGGAGGAGACAGCCAGTGCATAGGCCAGACACAGCGGGGAAGAGGCACTAAGATGAGGGAAGGGGCCTTGGAGCAAGGGGTAGGCTCAGACTGAGAGTGGGGTCGGAGAGTTGCGGTGCCTCGAGGTGGGGAAGGGACAAGTGGCTCGAACACCAGACAGTCTTAGCACCCAGGGCAGGCTCAGCGAGCAGGGGCTACTGTGTGGGAAGGACCAGCACTCTTAGAGGGCCATGCAGGCATGGAGGACAGGATGGAAAGCATAGGGACACCATGGGCTGCCCCCACAGGGGCAGGGGTAATGATCGGAGGCTCAACAACATGTAGTCCCACTCATGTCACAAAGATCCCCCAGTCCTTTCCCATATTCCAAACCCCAGACGCACCCTGGAAAGTGGCCACCTTGGTGTCCAGGCCCTGGGCAGGACCACAGCAGTACTCGCCCTGGTCTTCCTCCTTAAAGTCCCTGATCACCAGCATCTGCTGCCGGCCACGAGAGACAACCTCAAAGCGTCCACTGTGCTGAATGAGCTCTGTCCCCTTGTGCCACACAACCTCTCCAACCTCAGCTGCCACTTCCAGCTCCAGACAGACGTCCTCACCAGCTGCCACCTGCCGGGACTTGGGGTCCATGGGCATAGGAGGCTTGGGCTCAGCAGGCCCAGGCTCAGCAGACTCTATGGAAACAGCATACAGACAAAGGACAGAAGAGGACAGGCCCATCAGCCCAGCTGCACTGTGGAGCCAGGCCCACCCGCACTGTGGAGCCAGGCCCACCCACCTAAGGGTAGAAGGGCTACTCACCCAGCTGGACCATCTGGGGCAGGTACACAGGCTCTCCCGCACCAGCCGGGCCTACGGCTGCCACACGGAAGCGATAGGTTTCCCCAGGGGCTAAGCCATCCACCACACACTCAGGCCCCGGAACCAGCTCATGGCACAGCTGCCACTGGCCCGTGGACCCCTCCTTCATCTCCACCCTGTAGCCACAAAGACCCCCACCACCATCACTCATGGGAGCTGCCCAGGACAGTGTCACCGCATGGCTGCTGCGTGCCACGACCTCAGCATCCTCCGGGGGATCAGGGAGTCCTGTGGGAAAGAGGAAGTCAGTGGGCCCGCAGCCCTAGCAGCCACTGGGGACTGGCACAGAGCCTGCCAAGTCCCATGAGGCTTAGGGAGCAAAGGATGTGGCATGATGAGACTGTGCCCAAGCCCAGTTGGGGTGGGGCCACCAAGAGCCCCAGCACCTCATGGAGGGGAGACACTCATCCCTTCTGCCCAGCCCCCAGTCTGAAGGAGGGGCTCCCCAAGATCCATGCAGGACCCAGCTCTCTGCTACCCGAGGTCTCACCCCAACCCACCCAGCACGGACAGCCACGCCGAGGCCACAGCATCACAGGCAGCAAAGGTGACCTCGCCAGCATGGCACGGACGGGCACAGTGCAGCAGCAGGGCATGATGGCTTCCGTCAGAGGTCACTGTCCAGTCTGCATCGTCGGCAAGCACTGCCGCACCATTGAGGTACCAGATGGCTTCGCCCATGGGCACTGCCTCACTGAGCGTGCAGGAGAAGCAGGCCTGGTCACCTGCCCGGACTGCCACATCGTGTGGGGGTTCCAAGACCTCCAGACGCCAGCCTGCGGGATGGAGAAGGGGTTGAGTGGGGACCCCTGGCAGGGCCACCTGGCTGCAGGGTCTGGGTCACTGCCCACTGCCAGCAGCCTGTAGAGCTTGGGCTAGGAGCAGTCTGGAGCCCCATTTCCTGACCCCTCCCCAGCCCCACGCCCCAGTACGGCTGTCTGGAGAGAATCTCAGAGGCTGATGACCCCTTCCCTGGCCCATAGGTGGGCAGGGCATCTGCCAAGGCTCCACCGACTGCTCCCTCCTCCAGACTCCAATCCTCAAGAGAGGCAGGGATCTAAAAGGCCAGCCTGCCCCTTCCCACCTTACACCCCGAGTCACCTCTAACGGTGAGAAAAGCAGAGGTGACCACATCCCCAGCCAGGAAGGTGACCCGGCAGCTGTTCTGTGGCCGCAGGTTCTTCAGCAGCAGCAGGTGGCGCAGGCCGCCCTCAAAGTAGACGACCTCAGCGTTCTCCGATGTGTGCACAGGCTTGTCGTCCAACAACCACGTGTGCGCTGCCACCTCAGGCCGCGACAGCTGGCACTCAAACAGCGCCTCGCCCCCCTCAGGCACATCCACATTCTCAAGGCCACGGACCACTGTGTTCTTTGCTGCAGGGGGGGGACAGCGGCTCAGGGGTACAAGGCCCCTAACAAGGCCCCAGGAGAGCCCCCAAACAACACAAGGCCAAGCAGAATGCTCCCCAATAAGCACCTCTGGTGGCATGGGGCACCTGGCTGCTTGGGACATCTCCATCTCCCAGGCACTCATGAGAAAGCACAGCCCGCCCGGCTTGACCTCAACACCAGGCAGAACCTGCCCTCCACCTATGGCTCTCTGCGCACCAGGGCCGGTTCACCCCAAACAGCACTCAGGCTTGTGGTGCCCCAGGACCCTCTCCTCACTCGCTCACACCAGACACCAGCCCAGTCCACGGCCCATTCTCCCTCCTTGCTACACAGTCACAGAGCCACCCTCAGCAGCCAACAGCCCTAACTCAGCTCCACTCAGCACCAGGTGGGGCAGGCACGCCACCTCCCAGGGTTGTCCTGCCTGTTCAAGTCACCTGCCTCAAGGGATGTCACCACCTGCCCCTCCACGCCCTGCCGGCTGCAGCTGCCTGCCAGGAACCTCACCTTGCACTTGTAGCAGTGCCACCACTCGGGTGCCCGCAGCCTCACAAGAATAGATGCCACTGTCACAGGGCAGGGCCGGCCTGAAGGTGAGCCTGGCCACGGTCCAGTCCTGCTCTATGATGACACGCTGCCCATCTGCACACACCTCCCGCTCGTCCATCTTCCACAAGGCCTGCACAGGCCGTGAGTACTGGCAGAGGAGCTCAGCTGAGCCGCCCTCCTCCACCACCAGGTCCCGCATGGCACTGACCACCTCCACCATGGGATCTGTCGGCCAACATGCCGGACACCATCAGCGCTCCAGACAGCACCACGTAGCCCTCCCCTCCCACCATCTGGGTTAGTGGCTTGGCAGCAGCAAGCATACAGCATTGGTAGGTGACAGCATGCCAGTGCTGCCAGCCTGTGCTGGTGACAGGGACCTACCACAGCCACCCAGAGCCCTGCAAAAGACAGCCCCTGTTGTAGATGGTATCTGGCCAGGTCATGCAGTCCTGAGGAAAATTCTTCTTGCCCTGAGCTCTCCTCCAGGATCCTTCAGGTCCTGGTTCAGCACATCCACCCACTCCAGTAGCCTCATCAGCCCCCTTGGGCCCCTGGCCAGCCCTAGCTGCTGAAATTCTACTCAGTGTGGCTACTGACCCCAGGGACTTGGATGACCCTAGTCTTCTACAGGGCACAAGGAGGCCTCTTCACAGAAGCACCAGGGCAGTGAGTGCCCTCCCTGTCCAACTATCTCTAACTCAGATGGGCACAGAGACCCCAGTGGAGCCCACAGTAGGGAAAAATGTGAGTAGGGCCAGGTCAGGGCCTGGGGTAGGGGCCTCTCCTTCCGAAGCCCAGGAAGGACCCCTCAGCCTTGACCTTTCTGAATGGGGAGCTGGAGGGGCCAAGCAAACAGCAATGCACCAACCTGCACAGCAGGGGGCACAGGGCTGGCATCCAGACAGACTATGCCCTGAGCTGGAAGTAGGACAGGACCTGCCCTGGGAAGGCAGCACACACAGGCCCTCCCACTCCCCCAGAAGCCCACAGGAAGCGTGCGGGCAGAGGAGGCAGAAGCACCAGCTGAGGGGTCCCCACTGGCTGATACCTTTGACCAACAGCTTGGCTGTGGATACCAGGGGCCCAGTACGGAAGGTGACGGTGCCTGAGTCAGCCACCCCCAGGCCTGAGAGCTGGAGGGAATGGATGGTCCCATCGCATACAGCAATGGTGCTCTGGGGGCTGTCCTGCAGCAGGGCACCATCCAGCCACCAGTGGGCCTGCGGCCCCCCTGCCCGAGACACCTCGCAGGAGAAGACAGCCACCTCCCCTGCGAAGACATCCACATTCTGCAAGCCACGAACCAGGCACGGTGCTGCCTCTGTGCAAGAAGGCAAGAAGGAGGCTGGGCTGGAGCGCCCTGGGATCATCCAGGTGGAGCACCTGGCTCAGTACTGCAGTGGTGGAACGAGGTGCAGCACTGAGTCTGCTCTTCAGAGACAAGAATGTCTCCACTGACCTGACTTATGATAATGAGGGATCTCAGGAGGGGCCCTAGACTGCTTCAAGATGCAGCTGTCACCAGAGAGACCAGGTTCAGCCTTGCCCAGCAGCCTCTGGGATGCAAGGTGGCTGGACATCAACCTCTGTGAGCAGACTCTCCAACAAGATCTGTGGAGCTTCCCACCATTGCACTTGGAGGGCTTGGACCTCCAAGCACCCGACCTCTGTACTCATGGCCTCTGCATCCCTTTTGTTCCCAAGTGGACCCCGTGTAACAAACTGACCATGAGCTATCCCAGCAAACTGATGACAGCCGCATAGCAGTGCTGGTGTAACCTGCTATCTGCAGTTGGCATCTGAAGGGGGCAGTCTTATGGGACTGGGGCCTCGCAAGGCAGGGCCCGTGTCACCTCTGGATAGACAGCACCAGAACAGAACTACAGGATACCCACGTGGTGTCTGATGCAGAACAAAGCCACACACATCCAGCATTCTAGTCAAGTGTTGTGCTGTGAGAAAACAGTGAGCATACTGTCCTCCCAGAGTGGTAGGGCTCTTGTGTGCTGTCTGCCTGGCATGTCAGAATGGGACATGAGAGAAAAGTCCTGAGACCCACCTTTGATCTGACACCACCAAGCCCAGGAGGATCACCTGAGCTGGGGTCTGGAAACCCAGCCAGCTGACCTGGCCTGGTCACAGAGGACATGGTGGTGCCACCCACTATGAGCCCACCCAGCTCAGCCCCAGCACAGCTCCAGCATGCAGCCCCATAGTACCCCACACCCTGTTTGAGGCAAGGCAGTGTGGATGAGCTCTTCATGGCATGGGCGCCCCTCTGACCAGGATGGGAGGAACAGCCTCAGGGCTGCTGCCGCCAGGGGTTCCCCTGGGAAGTGACACCTCCTTCCCAGGGCTATAGAAATGGATGCTCCTTCACCTTGGGATGCATTGTGTGCAGAGGTCTCTGAAGATTCCAGGGCCCTGATACTGGATTCACCTGCTCCCTGCCCATCACACGAAAGGATCCATACTCAGGGAGCTCCCCAGGAGCCCCATGCTCACTACACAGTCCCCTCCTTCCTGTCCCCTCTCAGGCAGACATTCAGGTGACCTCCACAGATGGAGAAAGAGAGGTTGAGAGTCTGACACACACATGCCCAACCCCCAAGCCCCAGGCCAGAGAAGAGCAAGACCAAAGGTTTCCTTTACAAAAGAAAAAAGACACCTCCACCCTGCGCTTGTCTCTATGCACTTGGCACATGCCAGCCTGGGCCTCCTTTCAAGATAGAACTGTCCACAACTGTCAAAGTCCAGCTGCCTCCACCCTGAGGGTCATGGAGTGATGAGGTGGGCAGGACTACTTGCAGATACCAGTACTGAACGGGATGAAGCCGGTCAGGGAGCCTCCATACCCTCAGCAAGCCCTGCCTCAGGAGCTGCTTCATTCTCTTCTCCACTGACACTCCCACACTGGCCCCCACATGCAACCTGACCACCTCCCCTTCCTGTGTGTCTACTCCTATTTGGATGTCCATTTGCACAACCATGCCCAGGGCTCTCCCTAAGCCACAGTGGGTGACAGGAGCTGACCTACCCAGGATGGGGAAATCTAGCCTAGGGCAGGGCCCCTCTCCACTGTCTCCCTGTCTAGCTCCCTTAGCAAACTAGTAGTTCCACAAGGTCAAAGCAACACAGGCCCATCTTGAGGTCGACGACTTGACCAAGGATATAAGTTCGGAAGGTCTGTTCAATGGTGAATGGATGAATAGTTGGCTGCTAGGTGGAAAGATGGGTGGGTGGCTAGGTAAACACATGGATGGGTGGTAGAAGGGTAATAGTAAATGGGTGGGCAGATGGATGAGTGGATAGGTGAATGGATGATCATGGATAGTCAATAAATTATGGGAAGATAGATGAATAGATGGTGGATAGGTAGCTAGATGTGAATATGGATGATGGACAAATCATGAAGGGGGAGAGATAGATGGGTGGATAATGGGGAGATGAGTGGTGTGGGTAAATGGATGAGCAATGAGTGGGCTGTAGGGACCAGTTTGAGAACCAAGAGTAGGACAAGGGAAGAGCACTTAAAGCAAGCACTAAGCTAACCAGCTCTGGAAGCAAAGCACCACCCAAGTCGAAGATTCCTAAAATCCTGTTGTGTGCTGGGGTAGTGTGCACTATGTCCGAATCCATACACACCAGGGCTATGCTGCTGAATCCACACCTCTAAGCCCATCTGGTGAGCAAGCATGTGTTAATGTGGATGTGCATGCACACATATAGTTTTTGCCACAGAAGTCAGGAAGGCCCTGATTCTACCTCAGAGCCCACACCCACAGCAGCCTGGCTCTGCAACTCCCTCCTGCGGACAGTCCTGTCCTGGAACCACACACAACACAGAATTTCTGAAGGAGGCCTTCACCAGCTCACCCTAGTGGCTCTCCCTGGCTCTAGTGACAAGGCCTTGGGAAACTGCCAACCTTGGGCAAGATTGCTGCAGGAAGTTTTGGGTTTCCAGCCCTCTCCATAGCTGCCATGGGTACCATGCTGCCTGTCCAGGGAACAGGCATTTCCAAGCAAAGGCTGGATGTGGAAGCAGCTGCCCACCTGTCACTATAAGCTGGGCTTCTGAGCTACAAGATCCTGCTTGGAAAGCGACAGTTCCAGCATCATCGAGGGTCACCTAAGGAGGGAGAGAAGCTGATTGGCCCTGGTGGCCTCATCCTGACCAGGAGTGCCACACTACCCCCCACTCCTGATGGGGACTCATCAGTTCCCCAGCCCCATCTCTTCACAGAGGTCCTTCCCAGGTAGAATTGGACCTTCCCAGCCCAGGAGGGAAGGTCCTGGAGCCCCACCTTGTGCAGGGTGAGTGAGTGGAGTGTGCCGTGTTCCACAGTGATGTCGTTCATCTCATTGGCCTGTAAAGGCACCCCAGCCAAGGTCCAGTGGGCCTCCTGGCCTGAGGCCCTGGATAGCTGGCACTGGAAGTGGGCATCCTGGCCTTCGCTGAGCTGCACGTTCTGCAGGGGCTCCAGGATGGTCACCTTGGGGGCTAGACATGGGGAGATGTGGGCGTCAGCCTCCATATCTGTGTTCAGGATGCCCCATTCAGCAGAGGTCCTGCCCTGCACCCCACCCATTCCTGACAATAAACCCAAGGGTGGGTGTTATCAGCTCCTTCCCACCCAAGCTCTGACCCGCTTAAATGCTGGAGATGACCAGGGGTGGAGCTGTCCCTCACAAGGACCAAGAGATGAGGAGTGAGCCCAACACTGGGGAGCCCCCCACAACCCCTGCCTGTGCCTGGCTCAGCCCTCAGCCAGGAACTCTCCACCCTGACACTCTGGGGCCACAGGAAACAGCTTGGCCCAGGCACCTCCCTTGCAGCACCCAGCCTGCACATCCCCTCCCAGGAGCAGGACTGGAGGTGCTGCACCTCTCACGGTGAGCTGAGCCGAGGACGTGTGCCTGCCCACACAGAAGGAGACAGTGCCGGTGTCCTCGGGCGTCACACCCTTCAGCTGGAGGATGTGGGTCCGACCGTCCCGCAAGGCCATCTCTGTCACCTCGTTGCTCTGCAGTGGCAGCCCCTGGAGATGCCACTGCACATCTGCAGCCCCAGCCTGTGACACCTCACAGCTGAACTCCACATCCTCATCGGCCTGTGCCTCAGCATCCACCAGCCCCTGCACAATGGTCACTTCAGGTTCTGGGAGACAAGAAAAGCCTCTTTCAGCCCAGACCACATTTCCTGCAACCTTGGCTCTGGGAAGCAGTCTTGGCTTCCAACACCCTTCTGCCACCCCACACGACCTGTCACCTCCTGTTCTCACCAGTACCTGCCTCCCCTCAAGCCAAGGGGCTAATCTGTCTTCAAGACAGCAAATGCCCATCCCACCCAGCACTGCAGCTGGCAGGGTAGCTGTCCAGGACTACAGGCTCAGTGTACCCTGCTAACACTCCTCACATGAGGCACAGCCACGGACAAGGGCAGGGTCGAGAGAAAGGCAGCCTGTACTCCCAGAGCCAGGCCCACCTGGAGCATGTTCTCAGGGAAGCAGGGTGGCAGGACAGCTCACCATTGACCCTGAGGGAGGCCGAGGTCTTCTGGCCGCCCACTGCACATGCATACTCTCCCGTGTCCTTGGCCTCCAGCCCATGGACCAGCAGCTCGCACATGGCCCCCTGGCACCGCATCTCATATTTGGGGCCAGCACACAGCTCCATGCCTTCCTTGAACCACCGAACTGGGGCCCCAGGCTCCACCTCACTCAGCTGACAGCACAGCCTGGCCATGCTGCCTGCCTCCTGCTCCACACTCTGCAGTTCAGTCTGGAACCTTGGCTTGGCAGCTGGAACAGAAAAGGACACTCAATGCCAGGCTCCCAGCTGATCACCCCAGTCGTTGGCTCTTGGGATGATGGAGAACAGTGGCTTACCTCGGACCGTGAGATGAGCCACGCTCTGCCGGTGGCCCGTGTCACATATGTAGTCACCTGCATCCTCTGGTTCTGCCCCACACACCTGCAGCTCAGCCACCAAGCCTTTCTGCAGCATTTGGTACTTAGCACAGGGGAAGAGCTGCAGGGCACCCTTTCGCCACTCCAGGCTGGCTCCTGCCCGGCTCAGCTCACAACTCAGGTGTACAGTGTCCCCCTCCACCACTTCCTGGGCCTGCAGCTCCCGTAGGAACCACACAGGTGCCGCTGCAGGGGGTAGGGGGAAGAGTGAGGGCAAAGGAACCACCGGTCTCTACAGGGTACAGCCAGGAGGAGTGAGGGACCATGGCAGGGCGGGGAGGTGACTGCAGACCAGTTCTGGGATGGCTGAAGAGCTAGGGGTACAGCTAGGATGATGATCCGGGGTGGGCTGTTAAGGCCACCATGGAGGAAGTGCACAGGGCAACCAGAGGAGGAAGTGGGGAGCCTGCAGGGCAAGGAGTATAAGGGCAGGAGCCTGAGCATCCCAGGAACAGGGACACAGGACCCAGCCTCAGCTGGGATCACAGGTGTAGGTGGGTGGGCAGCACCCAGGCGCATCCCAACCCCCATTCTTTCTGAAAGGCTGCAGCCTGAGCTCCACAACAGTGGTGCCCACCTGTGACTGTGAGCATGGCGCTAGTGGCCTGTGCTCCACAGGTGCAGCTGTACTCGCCCGCGTCCTCCCGGCGCAGGTCCTGCAGCAAGAGCTCTGCAGTGCAGCCCTGCCGCTTCAGCTCCCGGCGCCCATCAGCCTGCAGCTCCAGGCCACCCTTGCTCCAGACCACTGGGGCATCAGGTACCAAGAGCTCACACCGCAGGCTGGCTGTGGAGCCCTCTTCAGCCTGCAGGTTCTGTAGTGGCTCCCGGAACACCACCTGTGGGGCTGGAGGAAGGGGCAGCTTGAGACACACACACCTGGCCCAGGGAAGCACCCAGGACTGAAAGGGGATCACAGGTCTTGGTGGGCCTCAAGGATAGGGAAAGAGAAGACATACCCAGGAGTTCTCGGGTGACTGCCAAGAAACTCAGCCATACCAAAGGCTGACCTCCCAACACTTAAGGCAGGGATTCCCCTCAGACCTTGCAGAGCTGGCTCTTGTCCCCTCAAGACCACACCATGTCCCTCATATGCCAGGGAAGGCTTGATCTCCTCCTGTGGCCAGATATGAGGGCATGGCTGTGTCCCAGTCTCCAGGGAAGGTACGGTACACCATTCAGAATCCTACACAGGGCTCTGTGCCCCAGAGATCCGGAGATGCCGGAGATGTGGCAGGCACTGATACCCCACAGAACCCAGTGCATCGAGGACAGGCCGCAGAGCTCAGCATGAGGACCACCTCCTGCTCTGGAATCAGTCTCCAGCCAGAGAAGCATCTTCGTAAAGCATGGGAGGCAGAGCCTCAGAGAGACAGAGGCAAGGATAAGACGACAAAAGAACATAAGCAGAGAAGTCTGCCACTCACAAGGTCTGGCTATGAGAGATCTTTGGGGAGGTAAGAACAGGAAACATTAAACCAGGCAGTGCTGTGACAAAAGAACAGACCACACAGTGAAAAGGACCAGAAGACAAATGGGACAGTACCGTGGCAAAAGGCAGGGAGGACAAGGGCAAGAAACAAAGCAACAGCAGAATACCTTACACTACATGGTAACAAAGGGACATTACCACTGATGTCCAGCGTGGCTGAGGTCCTCTCCTGCCCACACACACACGAGTACTCCCCAGAGTCTGCCACGGCCAGGCCACGGATCTGCAGCTCGCACACGGCCCCGTCCTGCCTCAGCCTGTGTCTGTCCCCCTCTCCGAGGGTCTCTGTTCCTTTCCTCCACTCCACGGGGGCCTCTTTGCTCAGCACACACCGCAGAGTGGCTGTGGCCCCTTCCGTGGCCTCTTGGATTCTCAGATCTTCTATGAACCTGGCAGGCACGACTGTGAAGGGCCAACCAGTGACTCAGACATGGGACAGCCTACAGCTCTTTACACAGGACAGCAATACACAGGCACTACATATTACCATAGGACCACACGTGAGCAGGTGCAGGCACATGGGAGGGGTACGTGTCAGGGACAAACACAGTGCACAGTGGTGTGGACAATGACTTGAGAACATTCCCTGGACAAGGACAAGGGGAGGCGGGACATGCCCAGCTGACCCAGGCAGAGGACAGGTGGCCATGGGATTGTCACAGGAGCTGTGCCATACGAGGACAGAGATGGTGGTGACAGTTTGTAGAACCAAGCCACATATTCATGCGGTCACACGTGGTCTTTACCCTTGACAGCTAGCGTGGCCATGGTCCTCTCCTGTCCACACACACACGAGTACTCCCCAGAGTCCGCCACAGCCAGGCCACGGATCTGCAGCTCACACACGGCCCCGTCCTGCCTCAGCCTGTGTCTGTCCCCCTCTCCGAGGGTCTCTGTTCCTTTCCTCCACTCCACGGGGGCCTCTTTGCTCAGCACACACCGCAGAGTGGCTGTGGCCCCTTCTGTGGCCTCTTCATTCCTCAGACCTTCTGTGAATGTGGCTGACAGGGCTGGGGAGGTCAGAAAAGCACACACTCATTCACACTCCTGAGCGCATGAAGAGGATGGACGCAGACACCACAGACAAGACAAGAGAAACCCACCACCTTCTACACACGCTCAGCAAGGGCTGTGGACCGTGCCTTCCCTCCGTCTAGCCAGCGCATGTGTCACACAGAACCAGGAAACATGGCGGCGATGACAGGGACATTGGGCATGGGGGACATAAAAGTGATGAGACTACAATACAAATGGGAATGGAGAGGAACAAGGCATTGGAGGCCAACAAATACAGGTCCACATGGCCGCACGTCTTTACCCTGGATGGTCAGCGTGGCTGAGGTCCTCTCCTGCCCACACACACACGAGTACTCCCCAGAGTCTGCCACGGCCAGGCCACGGATCTGCAGCTCACACACGGTCCCGTCCTGCCTCAGCCTGTGTCTGTCCCCCTCTCTGAGGGTCTCTGTTCCTTTCCTCCACTTCACGGGGGCCTCTTTGCTCAGCACACACCGCAGAGTGGCTGTGGCCCCTTCCGTGGCCTCTTCATTCCTCAGACCTTCTGTGAACTTGGCAGGCAGGGCTGGGGTGGTCAGAAAAGCATGAACACAATCACATGTCAAGCAAGCGGAAGAGAGGATGTGGACACTGCTGATGCCACAAAACCCTCTGCACACGACCACATGACAGATGTGCCGAGCTGAATCTGTGGTCTCCTTTGATGCAGTCTCTCACTATTGTGGCGCTGGCTCCTTCCCTGGCTTCTTGCGCCCCACCTCTCACATGAATCTGCCCCATGAAGCCAGAGAGGGTCAGAGACACATTGAGAACTTCAAGTTATCTATAGCACCTTGGGAGGCAGGACAGGAGGAGAACAAGGACAGACAGAAAACCTCACAAGACAAAACATAAGAGTCCATGGTGGCACAAGACAGGAAGCTGGCTATGGATGTTTCTGCTGGTCCATGACATGGGATGATGGGAGGGAATGTGAGCAGTCATGGAAAGAAGTCAGTACAGGCAGAGGAAAAGGACGTGGGATTAGTACAGACACCTAGCACCATGGCAATAAACAGCAGAACACAGATCTGCTTAGCCACATGTGGCCTTTACCCCTGATGGTCAGTGTGGCCAAGGTCTTCTCCTGCCCACACAGGCAGGAGTACTCCCCAGCATCCACCATGGTCAGCCCATGGGTCTGCAGCCTACACATGTCCGGTCCAGCCTCAGCCTGTGTCCGGCCCCCTCTCTGATGGTCTTTGTTCCTTTCTTCCCCTCAACAGTGGCCTCTCTCGTCAGATCATAGCACAGAGTGGCCCTGTCCCCTTCTATGGCCTCTTCATTCCTCAGACCTTCTGTGAACCTGGTGAACAGCACTGACAAGGGCCAGGAAGCCAGACAGTCACACTGTCTGAGCACAGGGAACAGATAAGACATGTGCAGGACAGAGCAGTCACCAAGTGCAGCAGGGCAGAAGCCACACGCTGGGCCATGGAGCACAGCCAGTGGCTTGTGCCTCCCTTCACCCAGCCTATGTGCTACGCCCCTCTCTTCCTAGGACTGTCATCCTGAAGCAGGTGGCTCTGAGTCCTGGTCATGTATTCAGGTGCAGGAGGGCTCCCTGATGGACAAGATGATGAAATTCACAGATGAATGAACAGCAAGGCCCCATCTATGGTATGTATGAAGTGGTCAAGCAGGAGCAGACACAGCCTGGCTCCAGACTCGGAGGCTGGGGGCTGCCCCTGGCTACCAGCCAGAGACTGGGCCTCTAATATGCCCAGCTCCATCCATCTGGAGACCTCCAAGGAGCAGCGGCTCTGGGAATCTTCGGCACTTCATGGTCTAGGAGTGACTTTCAGAAACACAGCTTCTCTAGGAAAGTCAGAGCAGGAGCTCACCATCCTCAACCCTTCCCAGACATGCCCCACTCTGCAAGCTGCCAATGTCCTCCATTCCTCCTGCTTCTCAGCAATAGCACCTCTGGGGATCAAGGAAGGAAGTGGCTTCCCCTCAGCCTGTCTTCCCAATGTTCTGCAAGCACAGGATGGGTCTCAGAGGACACATCCATCCGTCGCACTTGGTGCCATGCCCCAGATGATAACATGAACTTCATCTGCACAGCTTGACGTGGCATGGCTACCTGGCCTCTTCACAAAGGCTCCTAATGTCTCTGCACACAGCAAGTTGGCCTCACAGGCTCAGGCGGACAGATGCCATTCCCAGCCCAGAATTCCCTCATTCACTGCCCCAAGGAGCCCTTCCTCACAGTGGAATGGAGGCCACAAGACTCCCCTGTGCCTGCAGGGGATTAACCCCTCCACATCCTTGGCTTGCATCTGCCTTCATTTCCTCTGCCTCCCTGCAGCATGTAACTCAGACCCTGATGCCCAGGTGGCCAGCCACACCAGGATAGGGGTCCCAACTCCCAACACACAAGATGAGATCCGGGGAGCCCCTCCCATCCTGACTGGGATGTTGTAGGCTCAGGCACCAAGTGGACAAGTTGCAGTGCTGGCCAAGGGCAGTGTCTGCTCCTGCACTCAGAGGCCTGGGGACCCACAGCCTTGCCTCAGTCTGCACCTGCCCATCTCTGAGGGTGGAGCCCTGAGGCCTCTTCCTCCACCCAAGTGTCACCTTGCCCACGCACACCACAGTGTGGCCACAGCCCCTTCTGTGGCCCGTGCAGGCCCCAGAGCACCTGTGACTTGGGTAATCAGTGGGGGACAGACACTGTGGGGAGCATAGGACTTGTGGCAGGCCTGCCAAAGAGGAGCCAGCAAAGCCAGCACTTCCCCAGTGCACCCCAAGACAACAAGAAGGTCACTGGGTTGGCCCATGGACAGGGATCACCCCTCACTGCATGGGTGGGCCCTCTCCTCCCACCCCCTTCAGGATGGGCCCATGCTGTGGTCCCACTGGGTCCTGTCTGTGGGCCATGCCTCAGGCTCTTGCCTGCTCACTTCCTGCTGTATCCCAGGACCCATCACTACGTCTTTTGTTAACAGGTTCTCCCCACTCCTCCATCGAAGACCTGACCCTGAGGGGGACTGGGAAACCACCCCATCCTCTGGGCTCTGAGATGGGTCGAGTGTGGCAGTGTGAAAAACACTTGCTGAAGCAACAAAGCAGAGATATGGAAACCACAACACACACAGATAGACAAACACAGGGGAAATTAGACACACAGCCACATGCAGTCATACCCTTCACGGTCAGTGTGGCCAAGGTCCTCTCCTGCCCACATACGCACGAGTACTCCCCAGTGTCTGCCACAAACAGGCCACGGATCTGCAGCTCACACACGGCCCCATGCTGCCTCAGGCTGTGTCTGTCCCCGTCCCTGAGGGTCTCTGTCCCCTTCCTCCACTCCACAGCTGCCTCCTTGCTCAGCTCACACCGCAGCACGGCCGTGGCTCCTTCTGCAGCCTCGTTGTTTCTCAGTCTTCCTATGAAGTGGGCCGGCAGGGCTGGGAAGGGCAGACAGACACCAGAAAAGTCAGGTCCACCGCAGGGCTGGGGTTGCACACACCAGAAGGAAGACAAGACACAGACTCCAAGGGACCCAGAGAGAAGCTCACACGGGTCTGGGGCTGCTACAGACTCAAACATCTCCCATTCACGCAACATCCCAGCCAGCAGGAAGGAAGGCAGCACAGACACAAGCAAGACACACTGAGTGCAGACAGACAACATGAGGCCAGTGCACAGAACTATGTGGCCATGTGCAGCCATACCTCTCACGGTCAGCGTGGCCGAGGTCTTCTCCTGCCCACATACGCACGAGTACTCCCCAGCGTCCACCACGGCCAGGCCACGGATCTGCAGCTCACACACGGCCCCATGCTGCCTCAGGCTGTGTCTGTCCCCGTCCCTGAGGGTCTCTGTCCCCTTCCTCCACTCCACAGCTGCCTCTTCGCTCAGCTCACATCGTAGCGTGGCTGTGGCCCCCTCTGTGGCCTCCTTGTCTCTCAGTCTTCCTATGAAGTGGGTCAGCAGGGCTGGGACAAGGTCAGAAGAGACAGAGATGTCATCTTCATTCTCCTAGGCTCACCAAGAGGCCCCACTGTGGCCCATGACCAGGGCAGACAGGGACACTTACGCTTCACAGTGAGCATGGCCGAAGTCTTCTGGTCCCCGAAGGAGCAGGAGTAGCAGCCACTGTCCAGGGGCTGCAGGTCCCGGATGACCAGCTCCAACACGGCACCCTCCTGGCGTAGACTGTACTTGCCACTGGTCCTCAGGACACTGTCTCCATGACACCACTCCACAGGTGCAGCCACAGATGACAGCACACAGCGCAGTGTGGCCGCACCACCCTCCAGCACCTCTACATCCTTCAGGGCCTCCCGGAACCGCACCGGCCGAGCTGTGGACAGACATGGCTCAGTCCAATTTTAGACTGAATCCTGCTTGGGCTGAGCTGGGATGGGCAGGGCTCTAAGAGGGGCCAGGGATGCCTGAGCCCCAAAGAGACAGGCACGGGTCTGACAGCACAGGGAAAAGGTTGATGTGGCACAGAGGAGCAGAGCAGCAATGTCACAGAGTCCTCACTTGCGAGTACCCAGCCTTCCCTCGGGGACCCAGAATGGAACTGTGCTCGACAACGTGAACTTGAAGCGATAGCTACTGTAATATAATCTGACCCTGGCCAGCTCAACTCCAGGCCCCAGCCTCAAGGACCAACAAGTCCCTGTGAGTGAGCCACCCATCTGTGAAGGCAGCATGGAGCTACACCAGGGCAGAAAGGGAAGACCCTAGGGGTCAGTGAACAAGGCTGAGATGCAAGTGGGGTGAGAGACGCAGGCCACACAAGCACCAGAGACCCACCACCAGGGAGCCCTTACGGAGGTGAAGGAGACACCGAGACAGGAGGCAGCTGAGTAAGCCAGTGAGGTGCCAAGGGGCACAGACACCCCCAAAATAGGGCAGTGGCACTGGACAGCGTCCAGGGCCCCCACGCTCCGTGGGTGTCCACCCAACCCATGCCTACACCCATGTGACCAGGCAGGCCACAGCTCCTGGACTCACCGTGGACCCTGACAATGGCGCTGCTCGAGGCCCCACCAGCCTCGCATTTGTACCGGCCACTGTCCTGCAGGCCAGCTTCAGTAATGACCAGCTGGGCTTGGCCACACTCGTAGCTCAGCCGGCACCGGGGGGAGGGCCGCAGCTTCTTCCCATCCTTGGTCCAGAGCACCGGGCTGTCTGGAGCGGTGGTCTCACAGAGCAGAGCCAGGTCTTCTCCCTCCGTGACCATGGTGTCCGAGAGCACCCGGGAGAAGATGCTCGGCTTCTCTGGGACAGAGAGACATGGAGTGCCCAGAGTTGGGCTGACTATAGCATAGGAGAGCAGTGGGCTTCATGGCCCCAAGGGGCCCCACCCCTCAGGGGCTCAGCCAACACGCACCATGTAATCCATGAGTCCCGGAACCACCCAGGAGGCTCTTCCAGAAGTAGCTCAGGCCAGCACTCCACACCCACTGCTACCCTCGCTGACCCGTGAGCCCAGTCGCCCCTTGGCTATGTCTGAGCTGCTGTCCCTCTCCACAGGCTTCACTAAGCCACAGCAGTACTGACTGCGGAGCACCAAACCCACCTGTGACCCGCAAGGCGGCTGAGGAACGCTGGTCACCCGCTTCAAAGTAGATGGTGCCTGTGTCCTTGAGCGCCAGCTGCCGCAGGGTGAGCACATGGTAGCCCCCGGGCTGGGCCTCAATCTCTTTGATTCCGTCGGCATGTAGGGGTGTCTGGTCCAGAAACCAGCGAACAGGGTTGTAGTCAGCGGGGGACAGGCGGCAGCAGAAAGTGGCTGAGGCGCCCTCCTGCACCTCGGCATCCTCCAGGTCCTCAGTGATGCACACACTCTGGCCTGCCAGAGGACAGATGGTCAGGGCCCCATTAGCTAAGGGAAAAGATGGCTCTCCCCAAACCCAGCAAAGGGCTCACAGCTGCTGGCAATGACTGTTGGACAAGCCCATGTTGACAAAATTTACAACCCAATGTGAATCAGAGCTGAATGGCCCAGTCTTTGCTTTAGACCAACCTCCGAGTCCCAAACTCCTCCTCCACCAGGACCTCTGTGGCACTGGCCTGTGGCTCAGGCTGTTGAGGGCTGGTACTCTCTGGCCTCCACTGGGTTGCATGTAAGCCTATGTGCCCAGCTGTGCCTGGGTTGCCACTATCCATGCAATCAAATCTGTGTTACCGATGCAACAGTGTTACTCTACTGTTACTCAACTGTGCTTCAGAGTGCTGAACTAATCTCCCACTCTGTGCTTACAGCCATTCTCCACCCTCACCACCCCAACCCCAGAGACCCCTGCCTGGTCAGGGAACCTCACCAATGAGCACCCCACTCCTGCCCGCATCTCCAAGACCCACATACTCCAGGCCCAAGCAGCTCAGCCACACATATCCTTTCACCCCCGTGACCTAGGACACACCCTATCATCCCCATGGCAATGTCCATGATTCCCAGGTGAGATCCACCAACAGTCACACTGATGGTCGGCCCTCCCTTGGGACCACCCGAGGCTCCCAGGTGTCAACACATCCTGGTGATGTATCGTGTGCTGGCACTCAGACAGCACTGGCTGGAACCATGGCAGAACCCACAGAGAGCAGACAGATGCCAGATCAAAGAAGGCCATCAACAAGAGCCCAGTCCACTGTGTCATTTTCTCTGCCTGCAAGGACTGGAGAAACCAAGGCTGGGCCAGTCCAGGGCTATTCAGAGTGCCAATTTCTGGCTACCTCAGTCTCCAGAGTCTACGTGAAAAGCAGCAGCACCTGAGCCCCTGTGGGGCCCACCACTGGAATCCCCAGCTTACCTTGCACCTGGAGCCGAGCCTGGGACTGGGCCTGGCCAATGTCACAGGTGTAGGTGCCACTATCAGCCAGTGTCAGGGCACTGATGGTGAGCCTCAGGATCAAGCCCTCCTGGCTGGGTGCATGCTTCCCTGAGGCCCGCAGCTCCATGGCGTCCCTGCGCCAAGTCACGGTGGCTGCCAGCTGCTCTGTCTTACAGGTGAACACAGCTGTGCCCCGCTCCTGGGCCTGCAGGTTGGTCAGCTCCTCAGTGAACCGATTTGCCCTTTCTAGAGAGGAAAACCGAGCAGGGAAGGCAGAGCTTGTACACACTTGCATCCAGCTCACGTGCCCCTGGCCCCACCTGCCGGCCGCAGAGGCCCACCCTGGGCCGTGCTGGGGAGCAGAGGCCATGTAGGCCAGGCACAGATCCAGGGCTACTCACCCTCCACACGGAGCCTGGCGGCACTCTTGGCAGCGCCCATCTCACACGAATACTCGCCGGAGTCCCTGAACGAGGCCCCACGCACTACCAGCACTGCCCGCGTGTCCTCGCTGAGCATGTCATACTTCTGCCCCTTGCGGATGGCCTTCCCGTCCTTCAGCCAACGCACAGGGGCACCCGCCCGTGAGAGCTCACAGCTCAGCACCGCATCTTCCCCTGGCATGGCCTGCTGGTCCTCTAGGGGCTTCACAATGACCACTGGCCTCTCTGGGGAAGCAAACAGCAACCAGTGAGACACTACAGGATCAGCCACAACCTGAGCCACATGACCTGGGCCACACAGCCACAGCCCCAAGGTACACCAGGGAGGCAGGGGCAATGGCACCCTCACCCCAGCCTCCTTCCTAGGGATCACCAGGGACTGGTGCCTGCACACTGGGCTACATTGACCTGACAAGAGCACTAACTCCAAACCTCAACAGCCACTTCCAGGCAAGTGCAGGGCCAGAGGCTGTGAGTCCATCGTAGCCAGAGGTTCTGCTAGCCACATGTATGAGCCACTGGCCACATGGGGCAGTTGAGCCACCAGAAACTAGGGCCCTGGCTTTCTCCAGAGCCTCAGAGACTCTCCAAGAGTAACACTTGGGGTGACTGGGACCCCAGCAGGTGCCTCTGGTCCCCATACCCTCCAGAAGAGCACTCACCAGGGCAGGAGACAGTCTCAAGACCCCCAATAAGCAAGCCTCAGCTGGGTCCATGGTACCCACCTCGGACAAGCAGCGAGGCCTTGGAGGTGAGGCCCTGAACAGAGAAGACCACCTCTCCAGCATCCCCCAGCACGGCATCCTGCACTGTCAGCGTGTACTTGCGGCCCTGGCATGCAGCCTGGAAGCGGCCAGAGCTTCCCACCATCTTCCCACCAACTGTCCACATGGCAGGGTCACCCTTGTTCTCGTGGGACAGCACACATTCGAAGCTGTGGGTCTCCCCCTCCAGCACCTCTGCCGTCTTCAGCCTCTTGGTGATGCCCACATGCAGGTCTGCAGACCACAGGACGTGTGCCATCACACAGATGCCCAAGGATGATGTGGCCTGAGCACATGCAGACCCACCCAAAACTGGAGGGGCTGATGCCCAGGGCAGCCAACCTCACAGGGAGAGCTGTCCTGTGCCCACCCTGTGTGCAGATGACCAGCGGCACAAGCTGCATAAGGTGGCTCAAGTGTTAGGGTCACCCATGCTGCACAGGTGAGCACCACACAGAGAATTCTGCAAGGCATGAGGGCCATCCATGGCAAGCTCTTCATCATGTTCTCTTCTTGGTGTCACCACAGCATACCAACCCCACCTCCCCAAGTCAGGGAGCTCTGTGGGTAGAGGTCAAGGCTCAGGAGCCCTTCCCACAATCCTCCCCTATGCCCTTTCTCAGACACGTCCCATAGTACAGAGAAGGTCCCACCTCACTGTCCACCACTCAATGTAGCCTGGCCCTCACAGGACCACAACAGGAAGCCCCCCACCTCCTCCTTCAGCTCCCCTAGGTCCAGATAGTGGCACATGCCATGGGGACAGGGAAGATGGCCATGCCTGTACCACGCACCGTGCACGCTGACCCGGGCCTGTGTCTCCTCACTGCCCACGTGGCAGGTATATAAGCCGGCATCCTCACGGCCCAGGTCATGTACCATTAGGCTGTGTGTGCCTGCTGTGTGCAGGAAATCGTACTTGTCCCCGGGACCCAGCTCCACACCATCCTTGCACCACACCACATGGACTGTGGGGTCAGACACCTCACACTGTAGAGCCAGCATGCCATGCTCCTCCACTGACACATCATCCAGCGCCTTCAGGAACACCACCGGCTTCGCTGTGGGGAGGGCATGTGGGTGGTTAGGGGCCTGTTGGGTGAGAGGGCCCCACAGACCCCATGAGGATGGCTCACCTCGGACAACCAGCCGGGCTGTGGCCGACACCTTCGGGGAGCTGGCACGGACCATGCCTGCGTCTGCCTGCCGGACACTCTTGAGCACCAGCGTGTGGCGCCGACCCTCATGAATGATCTCGTGGAAGCTGTCATTATACAGTGGCATCCCATTGAGTGACCATTCAACCTCTTCATCCTCCTGGGACAGCTCACAGGAGAAGCAGGCCCGGCCCTCCTCAGTGGCCTCAGTATCCTGCAGCGGCTGTGTCACCTTCACCTCCCGTGCTGCACAGCACAAGGGGGATATCAGCACTGCACTCCAGGCCTGGCCTGAGCCCCAGGGCCCACCCAACCTACCTTCCACAGTGACCTCAGCACTGCTTTCTGCACTTCCCGCTTGGCACCTGTAGACACCAGCATCGGCGGGGCTGAGCCGCAGGATGCGCAGCTCGGCCATCTGGCCCTCCAGCACCATCTTGAACTTCTTGGATGGAGCAAGCGGTGTGTCATCCTTGTACCACTGCACGGCCTTGGGGGCTGGCCGGAAGTCACAGGACAGCACCACTGACTGCTGCTCACGGCCCACCTTGGGCTCCAGCGGCCGCACCAGTGTGACAGGGATGTCTGCAAACAGGCAGGTGGGAGGATGTGAGGGCTGCAAAGGCCACATCCAAGGGCCTTCCGACTGACATCCCCAGGCCGCCCTGACCCCTCTCTGGGCCTGCTGCTCACCCGAGACCACCAGGTGGGCAGAGGAGCGCGCCTTGCCAATGGTGAAGTGCACGGGGCCTGTCATGGTGGAGCAGGTCCTCCGCAGTGCCAGCCGGTGCACTGTGCCCTCCTGCTCCAGGCCCACGTTTGCTCCTGCCTGCAGCACCGTCTTGCCTAGCAGCCACTTGGGCGGCCGCACCGAGGGGATAGAGGTCTCGCACTCGAACCAGACAGGCGCAGGCTCCATCACCGTCACATCCTGCAGGCCCCGCACAATGGTGATGGATTGCTCTGTGGGCAGCAGGGCATCACGGTCACCACAGGGTCCATAGGGAGGACAGTGCCTTCCTGCAAGCTTGACATCTTCCAAGAGCAGGTGCCCTTCCCACTGTGGATGCTAACATCTCCCCTGCTGTCAGGATGTCCCAGAGGTGGCCGCGGCAGGAACCCCAGGACCAGCCATGAACTGTGGGTGCCCCTGGGGAACTGCACACCTTCCACAAAGAACTGGGCGCTGGTCTTGACATCACCGGCATCACATGTGTAGGTGTCCTCATCTTCAGGCTGCACGCTGCTGATGACCAGCTTGCGGTAGAGACCATCGCTGACCATCTCGTACTTGGGGCCTGGCTGCAGCTCAACACCACCTTTGAGCCACCGCACCTTAGCACTGGCCCGGGACACCTGGCACTCAAGCACCCCACGGTGCTTCTCCATGGCGATCTTGTCCCGCAGCGGGCGCAGCAGGGTCACTGGCAGCTCTGCAGCCAGCCAGCCAGATGGGATTAGGTCAGCAAGCCAGGCATATGGCCTATGCCAGGGCTTGAGCAGCGAGGGACTGCTGTGTCCCAGAAGCCCACGCCCCCCTCCCCAACCAGCAACCCACCAAGGACTCTGCATCTCTGCCTGCCAAACTCAGCACTGGATGCAGCCTAGGAAGACCCTTCACTGCCATCAAAGGGACCCAAGTGCTCAAAGCCCCCAGGCTGCTCCTGCCCCTTGGAACAGGAGATGCTGTTTCTCTTCCTCCAAAGACCCTGCTGGCCCCACCTCAGGACAGTCCCCAGACAGCCACCAGTCAGGTTCCTAACCTCCCCAGGCCCTCACCTTTCACTCGGAGCTGGGCTTGAGATTCTGCATTTTCAGCTACCAACCTGACCTCCCCTTCATCCTCCTTCAGAACCCTCCGGAGCAGGAGAGTGTGTGTCCTTCCTGAGGGTGAAGCCCACTCATTACCCACAGGCAGACCTACACCCCACCACCCCTCCACAGGGCACCCTCCTCGAACCTTCCTGGCGGATGCGCACGTTGTCAGTTGGCCGAAGCTTACTTCCCTTCAGAAACCACTGGCTGGGCACCTCACAGTGAGACACCTCACAGGAGAAGGTGGCACCCTCCTTCTCCATCACCTCCACATTCTCCAGGGGCCTCACAATCTGAACTTTGCGGCCTGGGAGGCAAGGGAGGCCCTGTCACACCCAAAGGCCAGCCACAACAAGCACCCCCAACCCACCACCTGATCCCACACCTGCAGGTGCCACCCAATCCAGGCTCACCTTGCACCTCAAGGGAGGCACAACTCTGAGAGTCACCTGCATCGCACACATACATGCCCTGATCCCCCACCTCACAGCAGTAGATAACCAGGCTTCTTCGGGTGCCCTGGGCTGTCATGCCCACAGCCTTGCCTGGCTTCAGCTCCAGGCCATCCTGTACAGGGAGGCAGTCTTGTCAGCCCTGCCCCTGCCCAGCTACCTAGCCACTCAGAGGCAGGGAGGGGCTGGGGAAGGCACCTTCAGCCAGCGTACAGTGACGCTGGGACGGGACAGCTCACACTCCAGTGTCACCTTCTCTTTCTGGGTCGCCACTACATCCTGCAGTGGGTGGCTGAAGGTCACAGGTAGCTCTAGGGGGCAGGATGAAGAGAAGGAAGACAGTACTGGCTGCCTTCCAGAGTCCCACAGAGTATCACCCCAGGGAGGAGGACACCCACCAGCCACTCACCAGTAACGACCAGTCGCGCTGAGGTCTGCAGGCCTTCTGCCCGGAAAGTCACCAGCCCACTGTCCTGGGGCCGCAGCCCCGAGAGTGTGAGGCTGTGGATGGGGCCATTCACCACCAGGTGGCACGTGGGCCCTGGCTGCAGCCGCACACCATCCCGAGTCCAAACACCCTCCACGCTGGGGTGGGACAGCTCCACCTCCATGGTGGCCACACCCTGTTCCTTGGCCTCTACTGCCTGCAGGCCTCGAACCAGGGCGACCTGGCACACTGTGGAGATGCAGGGGAACTCCTGAGTCCCCACTGGAGACCTCACCCACCTGCCTGGGCCAGCAACACCCAGGGCCCAGAGTGTGCAGGTTGGTTTCCCTGAGGAGCTGTACCCAGTCTGTCGGTCTGCCCCCAGTGCAGCCCACCCAGGGCTGACCCATCCAAAGGGGGATGGCCCTGCTGCATACACCTCAGACTCGCCCTGGCCCAGGGCCTGCCAGACTGACCACATACCGAAGAGTCCCAGGGGTTGTGTCGCCACCCGGCAGCTCCCCACCCTGCCACTCCAGAGAGGTCTGCACTTCCTCCACCAACCTCCACCCTCCCCTTGAGCCCTACCCCACTCACTCTCCACCGTGAGCTTGGCCTGCGTCTTGTCATCGGGCGTCTCACAGCCATAGAAGCCTCGGTCGGCGAAGCCCACACTTCGCAGCACCAGGCGGTGGCATGTGCCTTCCGCATGGATCTCCACATTGTCACCGGGCTCCAGGGTGGCAGCGTTGCGCGTCCACCCAACTTGAGGCCAGGGCCGAGACAGCTCCACCTCCAGGGTCACAGTGCTCCCCTCCTGCACTGTCCAAGGCTCCAGCTTCCGTCGGAACAGCACAGGCGCCTCTGCATGCAGGGCAGTGGTCACGCAGGGCCCCGTGGGGAAACGTCCAGGGGCAGCCTGTCCCAGCCCAGGAACTTGAACACCACACTGTGGCTGGCACCTCTGGGTGGGGTGGCGCTAAGTCCCCCAGTACATGTTCAAATTGGAGATCGGATCAAGCATGGCTCCGGCTCACCCCAGGGTGTGTCTACACCAGTCCTCCCTTGGGAACATGCCATGGCTCCCTGCCTTGGGGTGCAATCCTGGCTCTCCCCAAGTGGCCACAACCCTGCCAACCTGGCTCCCTCTGCACCTTTTCCAGGAAGCCTCCCCTACCAGCACCTCAACTTCTCCAGGGGTGCTCCCAGGCTCACAAGGCACCCAGGCCCGGCCCTCCCTAGTCAACCCTGCCCCATGCGGCTCACCTCGAACCCGCAGCATGGCAGAGCATGAGGCGCCCTCAGCAGACGCGGTGATCTCCCCTGCGTCCCCAAGTGCCAGGCCCGCCATGGTCAGACTACAGCACGCACCACTCTGCGACATCACAAATTTCCCACCAGGCTCCAGGGGGATGCCATCCCGGAACCACACGACCTCTGCATCCTCGGGCGACACCACACACTCGAAGGTGGCCTTGCCACCCTCCTCAGCCACCACAGCGTTCAGCGGGGACGTGAACTGCACCATGCGGGGCTCTGCGGGGGAGGGGGAGCGCTGCTGGCAGGGCTCTCTGGGAACACGGTCCAGGACGCCACACCCCTCCGGTCCCCAGGTGTCTCCCCGAAGCTCACATACCGCGGACCTCCAGGCGCGCACTCGTATATCCGTCGCGGCTCTCACACGTGTACTCCCCTGCATCCTCTGCCCGCAGCCCGGACACAGTCAGCGAGCGCACCTCGCCCTCCGCCTCTACCCGGATCCGCTTGCTGGGCCGCAGCTGCATGTCTCCATGGCGCCAGACCACCTCTGCCTGTGCCGGGGTCAGCTCGCAGGCCAGTGTCACCGTCCCACCCAGTTCCCCGGTGACGGGCATAAGCGGCTTGGAGAACCGGGCGGCCACCTCTGTGGGCACAGAGGGGGTCGGACGCACCCTGCTCGTCCTGGGTTCCTGTCCTGTTCACCTCCCACCCGCACGAGGGAGTCCCCACGCCCTGGTCAACACCTCACCTTCCACTTGCACTGGGAAGTCCTGGTGCCTCTCCCCAGTGCGGCATGTGTACACGGCACTGTCCAGCACTTGTGCGCGGTGCACAGTCAGGGTGTGGGTGCTGCCCACACTGCGAATCTCATGGCGTTTGCTGCGGCGAATCTCCATGCCATCCTTCAACCAAGCCACCGCTGCCACTGAGGGTGTGGCCAGCCTGGCAGTCAGGACAATGTCTTCGTGTTCCTTGACCACCAGCGGCTCCCTGCGACCGGGCCTCTCAGCAACTTCGCTCTCTGGCTCTGGGGCAGGAGGGAGTTAAGTGGCATGAGGTGGGAACCAGGATGCCTGACTCCCCCAGCCCAGCCCTCACCGTGTCCTCTCCATCCAGCTCCAGTAAGGTCCAGGGCCATACAAGGAAGCCAGGAGGAGCCCTTAGGGCCACCAGCCCTGTTCCAGGCCAGGAGCAGATGCTGAAGGATGGCGGGCAGTCAGGAAGACATGGGGGGGGTATCAGGACGCCATCAGCAAAGACTGAAATAGGCAAAGCTTGAGACCAAAGGGGAGGTTGGAGGGAAGAGGCCAAGCAGGTCGCTGCAAGATGCCATCCAACAGAGGCAACATGAAGTTGAGGGGTAGTCAGACCACACTGCGGACAGGCCAGCCAGAAGGCCAGTGTGGACAACTCAGGACCCACACTGTCAGCGAGATGCTGAAGTGTCCTCTTTGTTACAGGATGGTGTCACACTGGCATTGTGAAGGCTATGGGCCCCTCCTGCCACCCTCCCAGAGTAGGACTGTGTGTGCATATAGGTAGCACCCACAGAGTGCTAAGGGAGCAAGATGGGGGAAGGAGAGAGCCTGGAGCAGGGAGTGGCAGGACAACATCCCACCAGGCCACCTCAGTGCAGCTGGATGTCAGGACCCCATGGCCAGAGACACGATCCCCAGACTTGCAGGGGTAAGAGATCCAAGGCCAGAGGCCCTGGGAGTGGGTACAGGATCCCAGTGGCCCCAGGCAAGAGCCTATTCACAACACCTAGAAAGGACTGTGTCCACAGGCCCAGTTCAGCCTCCTGCTGCTGACAAGGCCCGGCCCTCTGTGGTTCAGATGGGGGAGGGGGCTGTGGCGGACAGCAGGATGGGAGTGTGATTGATTACCACATGGTATCTAAACACACTTCTATTTGTACACATGGCCCAGCCACAGGTGTGAGGGAGGATACCACCGAGGTCTGTCTAGTCACCAGCCAGGCTCACATCACCTCCAACAGCTAAGGTGGAACCCACAAGGACTGACCTGTGACATTCAGACGGAAGGAGACTTTCTGGCCCCCGGCCTCACAGCTGTACTCCCCAGCATCTGCCTCGCCTGCCTGCTGCACCACCAGCTGCCGCCTGCTGCCTGTGGCCTCCATGCGCACCCTCGAGCTCGCGCCCAGTTTCTTCCCGTCCTTGTACCATGCCACCTCCGTCTGTGCCTGGGCCACCTTGCAGCTCAGTGTGGCGCTGGCCCCTACCTCAGCCTGCACCTCACTGTGTGCTGGCTGCTCCTTTACAAACACCTCCTTTGCCTCTGAGAACAGACAAGGGACAAGGGGTCAGGGACACCATCTGGGAGAGGAAGGCCCTGGGCCAGGCAGCTGCAGAATGGAACCTGCAAGCTCTGCCCAGCTGTGGCCCTGGAGAAGTCTCAGTGCCCCTCAATATGTGCAGCACAACTTGTCCACCCAGCCTGGCCCAGCTCTATAGGGCTGGTCTGAGGACATGGGACAGGGTGCCCAGCACAGACCCCTCGGAGAGGACTGCAGGTAGTGACATCTGTACATCTGCCCCTTGGGGATGAGAAATCTCCAGGGACTGACCAGGGCATGGCTCCTGCAGGGCTGGATCGCCAAGGCTCCAGGGCTGTAGCTGAAGACTCTATTTCCTGTAGTCTTCTATCAACTAGTCTATCAAATAGATTCTTTGCATGGATTTTCATATGTGGTACTTTCTCAATTTTTCTAAGTTTAATTCATCTTTTGTATAAATTATATCATTTGTGATTTCCACTTTTGCTTTTTTTGTAATTTTTATAATTTTTATTGGATTTTCTTCCTACCTAAAGTATAATATTAGCCGAAAACAGTGATGGCTGGCAGCTCTATGTCACTTTCCACCTCAAAGCAGAGAGCTCAAAGTCTCATTTGGTCATTTTTGTGCAATGTGACTTAACAATCATTTATATGTATTTTGTTAAGGATTTTATGGCACGATTGATGACAAATTTTCTCAAACATTTCTTCTGAATATCCAGTGTTAAACATTACCAGTTTCTTCTGCACTTACTGAGATACTTTCACAATGTTTGTCCAGTCAGATAAAGTCACACTTTATACTGATTTTTTCCTGTTTCCAACATTAAGCCAAAATTGTATTCCTGGACTAGGAATGTCACCACAGCAAATGATCCTGTTACAGGTTACTGAATTTGGCTTGCTGATATTTTAATAAATTGGCCTTGATGACCATAATGAACTATGTAGTATGAATTCTTACTTTCCTGTTCCAGTATAAATGCTATGTGGGCCTGGGATTTAGCTTAGTGGTGCCATGCCTGCCTGGCAAGGGTAAGGTCCTGAGTTTTAATCCCCAGTACCAGGGGTGGGGCGGACAGTATTAATTCTATGTAAAATTTGTATATCTCCTTTTCCTGAAAGAATCCCCAGGAATACAGAGTAAATTTGCACAATGTTTAGGAATTTACCACTAGGGCCATTTAGCTCTGACACTGATCAGTCACTGAGAAAAATTTTTTGCCTCCAGTTCTACTTTTTCACAGGTTGCAGAACTATATGTATTAATTATTTCTTCTTGGGTCAGTTTTTGAGAAACTGGGTAATTTATCAAAACTTTTCAAATTTACTTGGATAAAACATTGTCATTTCTACTAAAATAATGTGCCAGGAAACAGATACTTTGGGGCCTGGCACCTGCACAAATCAATACAGCATCACATACAAGTTGAGAGCACCCTTATCCAAAATGCTTGGGACAAGAAGTACTGAAAGCCAGTATACATTATTTTGAGGAAAAATCATTTCACAATTAAATTCTGATTAGGGTTGTCTGAGCCCTCAATGCTCCTGTGATGTTGTACTCAGGGGAAAGATTACATCAGCTGAAGACATCCTAGGTCTTTGAGAACTGAGTAGAAAGGTTTTACCTAGGGAGGGACCAATTCCCTTTCAGTTTAACTTGTCCCACCTTCTGTTGTAAGAACATTTTGCCCATCTCACCATCCTAATCAATTTAAACTCCTCTATGACCTAAGATCACCACTAGCATAAAATCTTCATGGTCATAGGATTACCACCACCCTCTGAGACATCTGATACTCCCTCCAATTATAAGATCCTCATCATTGCTTCTGAGCCTTTTGACTAAGATCAAGTGAAGATCCTCATCAATTTAGGATTATCACCACCCTCTGAGTTATCTGATACTCCCTATGAACCAAATAAATTGTAGGAGCTCACAGTGTCTTCATCTTTGCTGCCCAGAGAAGCACTGGTCAGGCCCAAAGCTCTGCTTCTTCTCTAAGTCTTGTTTCCTGTCTTTATTCTTTAATTTACTTTGTGTTGTAGTAGCTCACAGAAGACCAAGACTCACTGCAGGGGTTCTGGTAACATCCCCTTTCCTGTTCTCCACAAAGAAGTTTTTTGGATTTCAGAATACTAACATACAAGTACTGAGATTTACTGGGGATAAGAGCCAAGTCCAAACACAGAACTCATTTATGTTTCATAAACACAAAAGCTAAAGGTAATTTTCTATAATATATTTAATAATTTTGTGTATGGAACTGTGTCCTGGTCTGGAATTTTCAACCTTTGGTATTACATCAGCGAAGTGAAGTCTCTAATTTTGGACCAGTTTGGAGTTAGGGATGCTGACCATGCTGGCCCCACACACTGCTGTGTGGACATTCAGAAGCCGCTGCTGGACCACCACCACCACTACAGGGAAGTTGAGCTCTGCTACCACTAAGAATACAGAGCTGGCCCCCAGACTTCTCTATGGGTCAGCCAGGGGTGCAGACCACAGAATCATTAGGAAAACACTATGAAATAAATACTCCCTCACCAGGCAGCAATTTAATTTACCAAAGTGTACCACAGTGAGACAGGAGCCACCAAAGCAGAACAGTGGAATGTTAAGAATAAACAAACCCTGGATGCAGAAAACTGCTGTCCTCACAGCATAGCATGTTTCCTGCCAGGAGACCCTGAGAAAACCACAAACACAAAGCTCTTGCACAAATGAGAAAGTGTTACCAAAAAACAAACAAACAAAAAACCTAAGCAACCCCTCTAATTTTAGTTGCTTTCAGTCAGTCTAAAATCACTAATCTTGGAAATCACATAGCTGGGAAATGCAGATGATGCCATGAATGGAGCCAGGGCTCTGAATTCGCAGGAAACACGGGAGGAGGATTCCAAACAACTAAATACGTAACCCTAAGATCTTCCCATGCAGTGTTGAAGATTCCACACAGAAATGAGTGGCTGAACTTTGCCCTCATGGGGCTGGGGAGGGCTAAAGAAGTTATTAGGGCAGTCAGGAGAGACATCTGGTCAACCTGAGCGATAGGCAGCAGTGTGCTGGGGACAGGTCACTGACATCACCACATGAAGATGTCATATGGCCTTCTACACACACCATCCTTAGCACACTAGCCCACAAACAAGCTGACAGGGAAGATGTGCCAAACCAAGCTCCATGGAGAAAAAAATCAAGGTCTGTCATGGTCACCAGCTAGGCTTACTTTCAACAACTAAGGTGGACCCCATGAGGACTGACCTGTGACATCCAGGCGGAAGAAGATCTTCTGGCCTCCAGCCTCGCAGCTGTACTCCCCAGCATCTGCCTCATTTGCCTGCTGCACCACCAGCTGCCGCCTGCAGCCCTTGGCCTCCACACGCATCTTAGAGCTCGCACCCAGCTTCTTCCCGTCCTTGTACCACGTCACCTCCGTCTTTGCCTGGGCCACCTCGCAGCTCAATGTGGCACTGGTCCCAGTCTCAGCCTGCACCTCACTGTGTGCTGGCTGCTCCTTGGCGAACACCACCTTGGGCTCTAGGGACACATGGAGGGACACAGGGTCAGAGACACTGTCCAGCCAGGAGACTACAGGGCAGGAAGGCCTAGGCTCAACAGCTGCAGAGCTGTGGCCCTGGAGAAGCCCCAGTGCCCCTCAGTATGTGCAGCACAATCTGCCCACATAGCCCTACCAGACTGATCAGGAACAGTGACAGGGTCTCCAGCATAGACCCCTCAGGGAGGATGGTGGGTGGTGACACAATACGATTGCCCCTCAGGAAACAGTTTCCAGGGACAATGCAGGGAATACACTTCTGCAGGGCTGGGTCCCTGACATCCAGGCACTACACTTGGAGCCTCACCTCCTATGTCCTTCCTGGTGCCTCAGGGAGGAAGCAACTCTGTCACTGATCCCTAGAGTCTGCATGTCTATGCTGTGACTCTTACTCGACACTGTTATTTGCTCTTTTCCTGCTCATTTTATGTGCTCTGCATAATTTATACGCTGGCGCTCTAAGCATTGTGTATGTAAGCATTGTTCCCTCTTGGTCACTTGCCGTTCTCTCTTTTATGTCCCTCCAGATGGCAAAGAGCTCTTCCTGGCAGTTAAGGTAAGAATGTGACTGTCCTTTATAGTGAGTGCATTTATATCCTGGTTAAGAAATCTGAGTACCTGAGGTTATAAAATAATCCACATGTGTAAGGACCAAGTTTTCAGGTTGAGGTGGGCTCCCTCCGTGTGCCCTTTGCCCACCTCTGTGCCCCTTGCCCAGAACAGAGCTGCAAAAATTCCACTCTGTATAATTCCATTCTGTATGACAGTCTCCCTGTGTTTCTGTTCCTCTTTTTAGGGCAAGCTGTCTTAGGCTATCTCCACCCTGCTTCTGTTCCTCTTTTTATGATCTAAGGATGAATTCTTCCTGCTTAAGATAATCAATGTTCTTTAAAGGAAATAACTGATTTTGCTAACATAGATATTAGTCACTGCTAACATAGGTAGTCACGGCTAGTGTAGGTATTAGTAATTTAGTAACTTTGTTAATTATAGAATTTGTTTAATCAGATGTTCTTTAAAAAGAGGAACTGATTCTGTGAACGTAGGCATTAGTAATTTTCCGTAAGTGCCCTCCCAGTACCCCTCAAATATCCAAGAGTAAGCGAAAGATAAAAATAGCACCTATAAAAAGGGAGAATATCCCCAACCCTATATAATCCTGCCTCAAAGATGGGTTTGGGCTCTCGGTCTGAAGCCGCTGTGACGGTGACACCCGAGAGTCCAGGCTCAAGCTTGCAATAAACTCCTTTTGTAATTGCATCAGACCTGACTCCTTGGTGGTCTTTGGGGACTTCGCAACTTGGGCACAACACATCCTCTGCTATGAGCTGGTTTCGCCTTCACCTCAGGCTCCACAGGGCATTGGACTTACGTCTGTGTGGCATGGGAGAGACATGGTTTTATTTCCCACATATAGATGAAGGCAGAGGGTGAGGTCTCAGATGTTCACCTAATAGCCACCTCTTTCCTTATCTCCTATTACTATGGTGCAGGAAAGCAGGCATCTGATTCTGCTCAGGGCAGTTTCCAGCCCCCTCTTCTATTCATCTGCTCTGTTTAGCTCTTCTACACCGAACCCAGCTGTCCTCATTTTGGCAGCTACTTACTCGCCTGGTGTCTGGGATAGCAAATGTTCTCATTCTTCAGGAGGACTCAGTGGACTTGTAGTTCTAATGCACCCCAAAAAGAAATGCCCTTTGACAAGCATCAGGAATGCACACCTTTGGCACCTATGAGTATCTCATCAGGGGTTACAGGTGCTACATTTTCTTCTGGAAATATTCAATAATCTCTCCTTCAGGGGGAGTTTCATTAGACATAGAATTAGAGGCAGGACACTTGGCATAGTCTGGTAAATTTTAAGGTGTCCTTTTCCAATTCTGTGTCATGATTCCAACAGTACAAAAGTGTTCATTGTGGTATCTGTGAAGCCTACTTTTCCTTTATCCAAATGTGCTCCTGTCCTCCACAGCCCTCCTCAGTTCCTGTGCAGGGTTGGACAGGAGCCCAGTCAGCAGGCCCTCTGAAATCTCCCATCAGTGGAAATCCTCCCAGACAGCATATTAACATGGAGCATTTGCTGATGTCCTCTGTAGAATTTTCATCAAACTTAGGGTGAATCCTTTCATTACTAGTTTAAGAATTTTGTTTCTGGGGCTAGGAATGGAACCCAAGGTCCCCTCATACAAGGCAGGCGTTCTACTTCCCTAGCTCCCTCCTAGCCCCAGGGATTTTGGAACCTGAGTGAACATTAAGGTTTGTAAATTTGCTAACATGCTGATGAATTTTGCCAACCAATTTAATCCTGCATTTATTGACATCAACAATGCTTCCCCCTTTTAACCTCTGTACCAGATTATACTGGTTTCATAATTACTGATGTGAAACTGACCCCTGACCTCCTGGATGATGACCTTGCCCCAGGGTACTATGCTCTTGACATTGTCCCATTTTTTTTCCAATGTTATAGGATTTTTTTTTCTTTCTTTTTTCTTTTTTTTTTTTTTTTTTGTAGTTCTGTGGATTGAATCCAAAGCCTTTTTATTTTTATTTAAACAAGATCTGGATAAGTCACTAAGTTGCTCAAGCTTTGCTCAAACATACAATCCTCAACTCTGCTTTCCAGAGGGCTGGCATTACAGGCATATACCACCACACCAGGTTTGTATAGGCTTTAATGTACAGCAGGGCATGGTGATGCACACCTTTAATCCCAGCACTTGGGAGGCTGAGGCAGGAGGATTGCTGTGAGTTCAAGACCAGCCTAGGCTACATGGTGAGTTCCAGGTCAGTCCCTGTCTCAAAAAAACAAAAAAAAAGACTTTAATGTCCAAGCTAGAGACCTAGCTTTTCTTTGTTTCCTTCTTTGGGTTTTTTTTTTTTTATTTTGTTTCTTGAGACAAGGTCTCCCTGTGTAGTTCAGGCTAGCCTTGAACTCAGAGCAATCCTCCTGCCTCAGCCTCCCGAGTGCTGGTATTATAGGCATGCCTCACCACAACTGGACCTTACAGTCCATAAAACAAGGGCATTTGAATTTTTCATACTCTGTCAGGTTTTGGTATCAGTATTATACAACACAAAATGAGTTGGGGAGTGTACATCCCACTCCTGTTTTCTAGAAGAACCACTCTGAATACAGACTATATTTTTCCAGAATATGTTTACCCACAGACACTTGACACTGGGTGTAGATTTTCTTCTATGAGACTTTTTTTGGGTGGGTACTGGGGATTGAACTCAGCACCTTGAGTTTGTGAGGCAGGCAGCAGAAGCACTGAGCTAAATCCTCGACCCTATGAGACTTTTTAAATCAGGGTTCTATTTCTTTAAAAGGTTATAGGATTGTTTGCACTCTCCTTTTCCTTTTGTGTAAGCTTTAATGTGATTTTCCAGGAATTGGGCAGCCTGCAAATACTTTTCAAATCTGTTGCACAAAATTTTGGCATATTGCACTCAAATAACGTGTCAGGAAGATGCACAGTGGGGACTGCTTTTGTACACGTAACAACAAACCACTCCACAGGTATGTGAAAGAGAATCCCATATGCCAGCCATGTGTGAAGCAGCTTCTCCACCAGTCCTCTGCTCTTGCTTATTTGGCACGGCCACTGCCCCTAGATACTATCTAGACCTTGCCACATGGAGATGCAGACAATGCTTGTAGATCCATAAGAAAGGGGAAGAAGATTCTGACACAACACTCTGATGCCCCGACGTCAATTCTGAGAAGTCCACAGACAACTAGGAGGCGTCCAAATATCCTCTAAACAAATCCAGAGAAACTGGAAAACCTATCTGGAGAGAACTTTCATGGCGTACTGGATAAGGGCACCTGGGAGCTGCAGAGCAAGCAAAAGAAGCAGGGCCCCAGGAACACAGGTGGGGACACCTGGTCTATCCCAGATCGCAGGGCCAGAGAGGCACAGCTCAGGACAATGAGACTCAGGGAGGCTCTGAGTGGTGCTGGAACAAAGGACCAAGCTTCAGGGCCTGGAATCAGCTCTGCAGGTGAGCAAGAGGCCCCATTCTTCCACACTTACCCTGCCTACCAGCTCAGCACCAGCATAAAAGGGAAGAGAGACATTGCAGATGGGAGAAGAACACCAATACAGAGGGCCAGTAGGTCAGCTGTGGTTAAAGCCAGAGTCTGTCCACCAAAGCCACGTGGTTCCCCCAAGAACTGACCTTTAACTTGCAGGTGAAAGGAGATCTTCTGGCCCCCGGCCTCACAGCTGTACTCCCCGGCATCCGCATCGCCCACCTGCTGCACCACCAGCTGCCTCCTGCAGCCCGTGGCCTCCACACGCACCCTGGAGCTCGCATCCAGCTTCTTCCCATCCTTGTACCATGTCACCTCCATCTTTGCTTGGGCCATCTCACAACTCAGCGTGGCACTGGTCCCTGCCTCAGCCTGCACCTCGCTGTGTGCCGGCTGCTCCTTGGCGAACACTGCCTTGGGTTCTGGGGACAGACAGGGAGATACACATCAGAGACACTAACAGGCCATGAGGCCAGAAGGCTCAGGTGTGGCATTTGCAGGAGTCCAGCCCCAGCTGTGGCTCTGGAGAAGCCCAAGATCTCCCCTGGCCTTTGAGTGTGGTGTCCTAATCCCCATGATGAGGAGAAACCCTGTCACTGCTCTTGGCAACCAGTGTTTGCTCCTCTGAGGGGCAACTATTCATTGTTCTGCAGACTCCACGGCAGTGGCTTTCACTTGTTCATTTTCAGTAGCTCTCTATATAGGCAATGCATCACTTGGTAAAGGGGATATTCTCTGTGTGTCCCTACATTACACTATATAAACACCCTTAGAGAACAGTTAGACAACATGAAATGACAACAATTTGCAGCTACTCACCCACATGTAACCACCTTTCTGCACACTCGTGGGGCTGGATGTTGTCAGGTGGCTTGGCACTACTTCAGAGCCAGTTTTTTCCAGCTCTGTACTATTTGACTCTGCCCCATTGGTGCTGCTTCAGTACTGGGATGGAATCCAGGGCTTCGTGCACACCAGGCAGGCCTTTATCACTGAGCCAGATGTTACCCATCTAAGATATATCTTCATACTTTCCTGATGTCACTGATGAGCACAATTTGATTTCTAATGTGGTCAATGTGCACTCTTGTCCCATCGTGGTTAGCACCTTTGTGTTTCATTTAAGAAATCTTTCCTACCCTGAGCCTTAATTCATGTCATCTTTGCAGGGCTTTTCCACTGTGACTCTGCTATGCCTGGGGTCACTTCTGATGTATTTTTGATGAGAGTTCCTGTTCTATTTTTGCACACAGTTAAACAATCAAAGTACCCTTTATTACAAGACCAATCTTTGCTTACACAGTTTCTATCACTGAAATAATAGAAAACTGAAAAGGTTGTGAAGAAGACACAGAAACCCTTGCGTCTTCCCTGAGCTCCTGCTCCACCCCTGTGACCTGCAGGTGTCCCTGCATCATGACAGATTCCTATGTTGGTGTGGCTCTGAACAATCATTGCTATCTCTTTGATGATGTCCATACCTGGTTTCTCTCAAAAGGTGTGGGACAATCTTGGCCACATAAATCTACTTCTCTATTTTCAATCCCAAAGAAAAGAAGTACTTGGATTTTGGTTGGATGTGAAACACCTGGGTGTCTATGCATTTATTTAGAGCTTTTTATGATCTCTCCAAAATATTTAACTTTCCCCCACACAATGCTTTTGTTTTGTTTTGTTTTACTTTTTATTGTGGTGCTGAGGATGAAGCCTAGGGTCTTTTGCTTGCCTGGCAAGCTCTCTACCACTGAGCTTCACCCTTACCCTGAGATACTTTTCATGTCATTGTCAAACTTTTAAAATTTCATTTTCTATCTGCTATTAGGATGATACACTGGTAGAAGTGTTTTTTGCTTACTGGTTTTCAGAATTTGCTTATTTTTTATTGATGCAGTTTTAATTGACAAATCATAATTGTACCATGTGGTGTTCTGATATAAGTGCAGTGTGGAGTAATTAAATCTAACATATCCAGTTCCTCACATGCTGATCCCAGTCTGTGGTGGCACACTTGAGATTCACCTGTTCTGAAATGCATAGGATGTCATCACTGACTACTATCACTCCAAACCTTAATCCTCCTGCACTGTAGTTCAGATGTGGTCTCAAGTTCATGTGATGGTAGCTGAGTCCACGAGGGTGGGTGTGTCACACACTATTATTAACTGTAATCACTTTCTTGTGCAATACAATATCAAAACCTTCTAGAAGGTTTGGTATAATTTTCCAGTAATATCCCTGGAATTAATCTCTCTCTATGGCAAAATGACTTTAATAGGTCCTTTTTAAAAACTAAAGGACTGGGGCCAGGAATTTAGCTTAATTTAGCCACTGACTGCCTTGCAAGAGCAAGGTCCTGAGTTTGATCCCCAGTACCACCCCCCAAAAAAAACTAAAGGACTGTTCACGCTTTCTATTTCTTCTTGTGTCACTTTTGATACAGCTTTCTAGGAAATGGCAAAATGGTCATAACTTCTCAAATTTATAATCATAAATTAATCTGTCATATTCTCAAAAAATAAAATTTGGCAATAATACAGAAAAAATTTGAATCTCACAGTTGCAAAAATCACTGTGCAGTGATGAAATTCTAAAATATTATCTGGGGGCAGCTGTGAAATGCTGTCATCTGATACCACGCTGGAGGCAGTGGGTGTCACTAAAGGAGCTCATCTCATCTTTAAAGCATGGAGATGCATGAGTGACCTGTTCTTTTCTTTTGCTAAATAAACTCCAGAATATAGAGATGAAACAGGCTTAGGACAGGCAAGTAGGAACAACCCTGTCCTGAAGAGTCTTCAACCCTCACAGGTAATGCTCTGCCCACATCACTGAGCACAGACCGTGACACAGTCTGGATCCTAACTCTGGCACACAAGTGACAGATCTTCTCTATAAATGTGAAAGAAGGAATAATTGTACTGACCCCCAAACCTGGGATAAGTTAAATTTTTGTTTCAAGAAAATTCTAAGTATTATTAGGTGGCAGATTCCCCTATGTAATTCAATGAAGTGCAAGCAGCTCTTGCTAGCAAGGACCCTCCCATGTTGCCCCATATGGAAACACAGAAGAAGCTACCAGAACTGACAGAAAGATATTCATGTGGCCCAGGGGAAAGACATCTGGTTGACCTCAAACTGAGCACCAGGGAGAGACACCCAGGAATACAAAGTAGGTTCTAGGAAGCAGCTGAAAACATGCAACAAAACATCACCACCTGGAAGAAACACTCGAGGGGTCCAAGCCCCCCAATCCCACACCCTTCCCTGCTAAGTCACACAACTGAGCCCTGTGCATGCAAACAGTGAAAGACAGCAGCCCTGAAGAGCTGACATCTAAAGACACACTAGGGGGCATCCAGGCTGTCACTTACTCATAACCGAACAGGCAACTGAATGTCTCTGAAGAACTGACCTTTTACTTGCAGGTGGAAGGAGACCTTCTGGCCCCCGGCCTCGCAGCTGTACTCCCCAGCATCCGCGTCGCCCGCCTGCTGCACCACCAGCTGCCGCCTGCAGCCCGTGGCCTCCACGTGCACCCTTGAGCTCACGTCCAGCTTCTTCCCGTCCTTGTACCACATCACCTCCGTCTTTGCTTGGGCCACCTCACAGCTCAGCGTGGTGCTGGCCCCTGCCTCAGCCTGCACCTTGCTGCACGCCAGCTGCTCCTTGATGAATACCGTCTTGGGTTCTGGGGACACAAGCCAGACATCATCAGGCCATAAGCAGGAAAAACCAAGAGGGTCTGCTGCAGGACAAAACCCCTGGGCTCTGTTCCAGCTGTGGCCCTGTAAAAAACCCCATACCTCGTAAAACACACAACACAGTCCATTCACACAACCAGATCCAGTTCCACAGTGCTGAGCTGGATCAGTGACAGGGTCTCCAACACAGGCTCTTCAGGAGGGGACTGCAGAGGTGACAATGTGCACCTGCCCCTTGAGCACAGGGGTCACCAGGGACACTACAAGGCACAATGCCTACAATCTGGGTCCCTAGGCCTGGGCACTGCACCTGGGGCTGCACCTCCTGTAGCCTTCTGTACAGTGTCTTAGTGGTGGAGACCTCTGGTCTTCCAGGCCATTAGTGTTTTCTCTTGTGTTCTATTACTGCTCAAGGGTTGTGCCCTATTTTTCACAGCACTGTCCTTTTGGCTCTTTATATAATCATAGTTACATGCTAAAGTGCTGACATTTGTGTACATTACACCCATCTTCTCTATCTGTGTGCTCTGCCTTTGGACTCCCTCATGGTATCTTCCCATGCATCAAGTTATCCCTTTCATTGTGGACAAGTGTCTCCATTTATGTTCTGTTCAAGAAACCTGCTATTGGTGAGAAGTGGCCAACTAATCTATCATATCTGATAAGAGCCTGCTTTACCTCCACGTACAGTGGGTTTTGTCTGTGCTGAGGTGGAGGTCCAAATCTATTTTATGCTTTCTCTATGGCTAATGATCTTACCACCATTTTTTAAACACCATTCTGTCACTACAGCTCACACTAACACCAGCATTAAAAAGAGAAAGAGATTGATCCCCAGTACCAAAAAAAGAGAGAAAGAGAAAAGGAAGGAAGAGAGGAGGAAGTGAGGGAGGGAGGGACAAGGCAGGAAGGAGCAATGAAGGAGAGAAGGAGGCGTGGTTGACCACAAGGCGTTCTGAACTCATTACCCCATTGCTGGGTCCATCCACCTAGCCCAGATTTCAAACCTATGTGTATCACCGTGGCTTTTAAGAAAGCCCTGCTGGGCCAGGGATTTAGCTCAGTGGTTCCACCACCTGCTTGCAGGTCCTGAGTTCAATCACTGCTACCAAAAAAAAAGGAAGGAGAGGAGGGCGGGGAGGAGGA